AGAAATGAGCAAGTCAGCATCATGAGTAAGTAATTCTGTCGTTGTAGGTGTAACGTCGTGCGTTCTCATTATAAATTCCTCAAACATAAGTAGATGGACGCTTCATTTAACCGCTCTACTCTTGTAGTTGCCAATAGTGTCTATGGCGATATGGGGATGCCTAATCTTCTATAGAGGAGCATCTAGTCGGGCAACATATCTGATATCTTCTCTACTGTAGCAATTCATGTAGACTCAAATTGCTAACGCGGCTGATATCGCGTCGCGTGACTGGCCGTTGCTGTCGCTGGCCCACTTTCTCAGCCGACCCATCGTAGCATCTCTGAGTCCCTGCCTACCGCATGGTTTTCAGTGTCGTGAACTTCAACTTGAAGGCGTTAATAGTACACCGGTGCCGTCTTAACCGAGATTACAGAGCAAAAACACCGCCACGTGCGGGAACAAACCGCATGTTATGCTATTGCCGCCGGACAGGCTCTATCACCAATGCGGAAGCTCTAGAAGTCGGAGCTGACAAAATGGGCTAGATTCTAAACAGTCTGGGGAAGCTGCAAAGATTACTGCCGGGCACTGGAAAGAAGCATTAACGTGTACGTGGATACTACCTAGTCCTTAAACACTCTTAAGAGAAATGGCCTTGGAGTGTCTTTAGGATAGGAAACACATTCGACTCTATAGTGGAAAGGGGCTTTGGCTCATTTATATACACCTAGATATATACTAACAACTCGCCCTTAACAGCTAACAAGCTAACCACGCATATTACTTTATGCGGCTGTTGAAAGAAATTACATTTTATTGGGAGTGAGACGGTTCCTGCATATGCACCGATTTTTAGCTGTCGAAAAGCGCGCGATTGGAGACCTCTAACCGCTTTTGTACTCTCAACCTTCCCGATTAGACAAGAGATATCCTCACCCTGGCTTGAATGGAGCATAACGTTGCATCAATCTGATGCTAGTAATCGCTGATATTGCCTTACAATCCATATAATCAGGAGTGCGTGTGGATTTCGCTATCGTTATCACTAGTATACAGAAAGCGTGGTAATGTTTCGGTCCTTGAAGCTCTCCGCCTGTTCATGTAACCATGTCAGCCTGTCAACATCAGATTATATCTCACTTAGCAGAGCACCTACCTTAATTTCCTTGGACTAAATCAGCATAATGTTACATGTGTAAGATCTGATTCTAGCTTCCCTATCGGATTGGCTGGCTTTTGGCTCTGGAAATTTGCTGGCGGCTGTCGATCTGGGTGATATAAAGATGTGATCTGCTCTCTCGTTTCCCTAATTCATCATCAGCCACACAACTACCTCCGATCCTCTAGGCCGTTTCTTTCCTCTAGATCGACGATCACAATGCCTTCTCTATACCTCACTTCCGCTCTTGGGCTGCTGTCCCTCCTCCCCGTTGCACTGGCCGGCTGGAACCCGAACGCAAAGGACAATGTCGTCGTATACTGGGGTGAGTTTACTATAAACTGTAAAAGGTGTTGAAGACAGTTGGCTGCGACTCAGAAACTAACGAGCATAAACTTCTAGGACAAAACTCAGGCAGCATTGGCCAGAACAGGCTGTCTTACTACTGCGAAAATGCCCCTGATATTGATGTTATCAACCTGTCTTTCCTTGTTGGCATCACAGACCTTAACCTGAACTTTGCCAATGTCGGCAACAACTGTACATCCTTTGCCCAGGACCCCAACCTGCTTGACTGCCCCCAGGTTGCGGCAGATATTGTCGAGTGCCAGCAAACATATGGAAAGACCATCATGATGAGCTTGTTTGGCTCGACTTATACCGAGAGTGGTTTCAGCTCCTCGTCAGCTGCAGTTTCCGCCGCCCAGGAAATTTGGGCCATGTTTGGACCCGTCCAGAGCGGCAACAGCACCCCCCGACCTTTCGGTAACGCTGTGGTCGATGGCTTCGACTTTGATCTTGAAGACCCGATCGAAAACAACATGGAGCCCTTCGCCGCAGAGCTGCGGTCTCTCACAACCGCTGCTACCTCAAAGACCTTTTATATGTCGGCTGCTCCTCAGTGCGTGTACCCTGACGCGTCTGACGAATCCTTCCTCCAGGGAGAGGTCGCGTTTGACTGGATGAACATTCAGTTCTACAACAACGGCTGTGGTGTTTCTGGCTACCCTTCACAGTTCAACTACGCAACTTGGGACAACTGGGCCAAGACCGTCAGTGCTAACAAAAACGTTAAGCTGCTCGTCGGTACTCCGGCCAGTGTCCATGCCGTAAACTTTGCTCAATACTTCCCCACCAACGATCAAGTCGCTGGAGCCATCTCAACTTCCAAGGCTTACGATACCTTTGCTGGTGTGATGCTGTGGGATATGGCTCAGCTCTTTGGAAACCCTGGATATCTGGACATGATCGTGGCGGACCTGGGTGGTGCTTCCTCCCCTCCTCCCGCTTCCACTACCTTGGCTACCGTTACCCGCTCCTCCACTGCCAGCTCTGGATCTACTCCTCCTCCCTCCTCTGGCGGCAGTGTTCCTCAGTGGGGCCAATGCGGTGGTGAGGGATACACTGGACCAACACAATGCCAGTCTCCCTTCACTTGCGTTGTTTCGAGCCAGTGGTGGTCATCTTGCCAGTAAAAGGCTACTTGACCGAGATAGAGCTCTATACCTCAGCAGCTCTTGGTTCCTGAAAATAGGGAGCAGGCTTTTCTCTCCCAGCTTGTACATATTTTCTTCCTTCTAGTATATATTTGGATCCTGTAAATAGATCTCTTAGTTCTTCATGTATATATGACTACCAAAATTGAACAGTATTTGTTTCCAAAGTCCGATTCATCTATTTCTGTGCCTGCGGAGGGTTCAAACTACTCATATTAAGCCACATGTATTCATCACTTCATATAACTAGCATTTGTCTATGAGAAGGCGAGTTTTTCCATGCTAGATAAATCTACATTGACCAAGATAATTGTGCTACCTGAGGCTGACTTAAGGGTTGGCAACTTTAATACTATTCCCAATGTAAGAACGAGCATCGCTCGACGACTCATAGCCGGAACTATTCAGCTATACACGTGAGGAACTTGGCCTCAAGACATTGAACTCAAACGCGCGAGAGTAAGTACTGCCATTCGGATCTCTCAACTGGTGCTAATTTCGTGGTTGGCATTGCCAAGATGATACTTTATTACAATTCTGGTCTCATGAAACTTCTGTCTTTGCAAATATTGTATATATAGTCATGATGGAAGCCCCTCTACCTGGTTTCGGTGCTCCTAATCTTTTTTGCGTATGCTGCTTGAACGGAGACGTATTAGAGACATCTAAAGGGATTACAGATGTTCTATACTACTTTCGCATGATGTAAAGATTGTTATTTGCAGTGAATAAATTTCGCCTGTTATATGACTTCTTTGATAGACTCTGAGATGTTCTTTATATTCATATTGGTCATGGCTACATCGTGCCGAGCGTCTTAATCGGCAAAGCAGCTGGGAGGCATGGTTTAATAATCTGCAAAACGCCAGATGAAGTTTTCGAGCTTTTGTGGTACTTGATTCCCGTGAGAATATGGGTAGACTTTATAAGTAACTAAGCTGATGCCTCATACTCGCATCGCATTCTCTTGTAAACTTGTAATGTGAAGTCAAGACAGATCAATGTTCAAATTGGCCAGGACATAAGTCACCACAGTTCTCTCGCTTAACCCGCATCAGATTTGCAACGCTCAGACAATGACGTACACCAGATTCGAGTTTGAAATCAGCAATCATTTATTTCGCATCGATACGCAAGCTGTCATGGAGCGCTGCGCTGCAAAATTTACCGCGAAACCTTCATAACCGTAGTGGTTGTTCAGACATATATAGCAGTCCGATCTCTGAGATCGCGTGAATGGATTTCCCCCACTTGGCTGAAAAGCTCGGATATCGCCAGCAGTTGCGCCAGAATTGTTAACGAGCACATCATGGGGCCAAAGCTCTAGTCTAGGATCAACGAGCCAATCCGTGGCCAAAACACCTTGCTGCTCGCGTGCATGGGTCTATGCTGACATGTAGATACGGCGTATAGGTAACTGTCGCAAGCAATATTTTACATATCCAAGCGATGATATGTACTGTATTGCGAATGCGTCTTGACGTTTGTTTGTAGGTTTCCAAATCGCCAACTTACGCATCGGCAACATCCTGCCGCTCGAGAGCTGGCAGTCAGCCAATCCGCATTTTCTCCATCCATTGAACAGAACCGATGCGTAGCTAGGAAGCTAAAGCATCATCCATTACTAGCTGGTTTAGGGAAGTACCTCGCGATCAGTCTCACTGGTCAGCAATGCTCGGGCCGTAGTCTTGACCGTACTATGCTTCCAAAGCAGTTCGAAATCGAAGCTTGCCAGATATGAACTACAAATACACTTTTTTGTATGGAGATCGTAGTCAATGGCAACAAACCTGAACAAAATCGTCAAAGAAACGCAAAAACTGCCTTACTGTTTGCCACGACAACTCCTTGCATTGAAACCGGCTTCTGCCGTCCACCCAACAGCATGGCGCAAGAGCTAGTAATTGTACCCGGGCGATCATACTAACTGCCTTTGGAAGTAGAAGCCTCAAAGTCAACGAAAAAATGCGTAATGGATACACAATTGTTTTATCTTGGCGTTCAGGTACCGCTCGTAGAAAAGTGGCAGTTCCAACTGCCCCAGTCCAAACAAGATTCAAATCGATAACTTGGGTTACATCGACAGGATTTGCTCTATGAGAATGGCTAGTCACTATTGAGGGAGTGGGACAATCGCCGCAAAACGACCGCTCTGATGTCCAGGCAGCGCTCGATAACGATCACGCAATCTGACCGCTGTTGGTGTGCAACCACACCTTCTCGGCAGGTCCGTGAGACACTATGACCGTAAGGCAGGGAGGGTTGTTTTGTTTATGATGCGACGTCTGCGACCATCATTTTGTCTTTTTGCTGGAGGATACATTTCTCTTCTTCAGTAGCTGGCCCAGGGACCGTACAACAACATGGCCACCAGCGACTCTCCAGCGCATTCGAAAAACGAAGCGGTATTCGGGTCAAACGAGAATGACACGCGGTACGAAGCCGAGTTCAAGGAGGAAGTGGGAGGATTGACCTTCGACCAGTATCTTGCAGGAGGACTTGGTCGACATCTGGGCATATTCAGCACCACCTCGCTGATGTAGGAGTTTCCGCCTCTCCTAGAGACTCTACACGATGGCTAATACCGCTTTAGTATCGGACGAATCATCGGCACTGGCATTTTCTCTACCCCCTCGTCAATCATCAATGGCGTTGGATCTCTGGGCGCCTCCATGTTCCTATGGGTTCTGGGACTATTGCTCTCGATTTCGGGCCTTTGCGTCTGGCTTGAATTCGCCTGTATGATCCCCCGAAGCGGCGGCGAGAAAGTGTACCTCGAAGCAGCGTATCGCCGGCCAAAGATGCTCATAACCACGGTTTTTGCTGTTCAAGCTATCGCCCTCGGCTTTACTGGTGAGTCTATACTTTGAGAAAGCGAGACAGTGAGAACATAGTCTAAGTTTGTGCCATAGCTTCTGGTTGTATCGTTTTTGCATCCAATATTTTAGTAGCGGCCAACCACACTGTTACGGAATGGGCAGAGCGAGGTATTGCCATTGGAGTCATCGTTTCGGTTACCCTGATTCATACATTTATTCCGAAACTTGGAGTACACGGAATGAACTTTTTCACCATTTTGAAACTTGTTCTTCTGTTATTCATTGTGATAACGGGATGGGTTGTTCTCGGCGGAGGCGTTTCACGAGTTCCGGATCCTCACGCAAGCTTTCGCGATGCATTTGCTGGCTCTGCCAAGTCCGGAAACCCGTATGCAACAGCACTTTTCAAAGTCTTGAACTCGTTCGCAGGGTAAATACCATATTCTGATTCGACTAGAGCAGCGGTTTTCATACTGACATGCTTCTTTAGGTGGTCCAATGCCATGTATGTGCTCAACGAGGTGAAAGATCCCGTTCGCACTATTAAGATTGCTGGTCCCCTGGGTCTCTCGACATGTGGCGTTTTGTACATTCTTGCAAACGTTGCTTACTTTTCTGCGGCGACACCGAAAGAGATTGCGGCGAGCGGAACCACAGTTGCTTCATTCTTTATGGGAAAAGTGTTTGGAACTTCCGCTCAGAGAGCGCTCAGGTGAGTCGCGGACACACTATCCTCGCATTCGTCAAACGTATAGTTCCGCTAACAGTTCCCCAGTGTCCTTGTAGCTCTCTCTGCATACGGCAATGTGCTGACAGTAACATTTGCCCAATCTCGCGTCAACCAGGAACTTGCGAAAGAAGGAGTTATTCCCCTTCCACGATTTTGGGCCTCATCATGGCCGTTCGGCTCGCCAAGCGCTGGCTTGATTCTGCATTTCATCCCCTCTTTCATCGTCATCGTTGCCATCCCGTTTGGAGACGCTTACAGTTTTATCCTCGACGTTGAGGGGTACCCAGGGGCTGTTATCAACTTCCTTGTCGTTGCAGGATTGTTCTATCTCCGCTGGAAAGAGCCAAATGCGCCGCGTCCTTTCAAAGTATGGCTGCCTGTTGCCGTGTTTTTCATGGCAGGACAGGCATTCCAGCTTGTGGCTCCATTCTTGAGACCACCTGGCGGCAAAGGTGACACCAGTCTCCCATATTGGCTGTACGCAGTCGTGGGTATCTCGGTTTTGGCGGCGTCCGTTGTATACTGGCTTGTATGGTGGGTATTGATGCCTAAGCTTGGAGGGTTTACATGGGAGCCGCGAAATGAGCCTCTCAAGGATGGGACAAATGTCATTGTATATCATCGCAGATCGAAGAAATGATTGCGCATCTTTCTTCTTTTCTGCGCTCCATAGAACATTGCTCCAAGCTCCCTCTAATATAGAACGTTCCACTGAACGCATATCAATGTCTGATCGTCTCTTCAACTTGGCGTATTGTGCCATTTACTGATGGAATCGTCTCATTGAAACGCCGAACGAAGTAAGCTGATGGTACACGCAGCTCAGCTTGGTAGACGAGACGCTGTTGGTGTTAGCCGTACACACGGTGAACTGGCTCACAAGATTGTATAAGCATTATATCTCAATCATTTAAAAAGAAAACAACCTAAACACCCACTGCATCGCGCATATCAGATATTAATCTCCCGCGATGAGTGTTCGTTCAATAGCAGTTATCTACAACCTGCCAATAGTGTCTACCAATCATTGTATCTGTTTATGAGGCTCAAAAGGAAGCACTCAGTAACAAGACATTTGTGGTCGCGTATCACACAAAGATGATCATTTGATTAGACCGAGCGTGAACTCTGTGCTCCACATTTTGCTTAGCATAATCAAACACCGTTCTTATCCCATACTGTACGCTTGAATCTGCGCCACGCAATAACGCGACGACCGGTTCACCGCCCACCACAAGAATCACAGCATTGAAGCCATGACGGCCACATCAATTTTTGACCGTTGAACTCCCACCTCTAAATGTTACACGCCTCCCATCTCAGCTGACAGGCTTCTGCGACATGGGCTGCTGGGACTCTTTCTGTTGCTTCTGGTAAGGCATCATGTACCCCGCATCTTAAGAGGCTAGTCAGCTAATTGATCAGCTCTGGTCCCTTGAGTAACGCACGAGATGGCTGGTACGAGTTTCTAACTGAAGGCGCCCGAGATGGCGAATGGCCGCCGGGAGATGGAGAGTGGTATAACGATCCTGGATATCCAGTCCCGTCTCAGCCGTTGGAGGAGATTGTGACTATATCGGAGGAAGACGGCAAATATTGGGATCCGAGCGTTGGCGTTACTCCCAACTGGCCGGACACTTTTGTCACCCCACTCTGGTGAGTTATCAAGCCAATGAAGACTATACGACTATACGCATCTGTGAATCGCCTCTCACTTACACATCCCTGATAGCACGGTTGGCTCCTATGGAGATGTATCCATCCCCGGTGTCAAAGATAAGCTGCACTTGGGTTCTGACCTGTGTCTTCTGATCCATCCCGCATGCCTCTCCTTTCTCTGTCGCCATACCGGCATCACCCCTCGTGAACTCTGGGAGTCCTTTTATAAAGAGAATTCCTGCTATCAGATGTATGGTGGGGAATTGAATGGATTATTGTATTGCGTCCACTATTATGACATGCAAGAGAGAAGTGGACAGGACTTTCAGTATGCCCTGGAGCGCCAGTGGCCACCGTTAGAGCGTCCCGATCTCCCACAGACAAGATGGTTCGATCCGAAGAGCATGGAGGATACGAAGTGGTTACTGGCTAGGCCAACTCGCCTACCAACTCCGAGGGTCCTGCAGTCAAGCCCAGTGAAGCCTTCGGCAGTGAAACGCCGAAAAGTTTTTGATACTAACGAGTTACTCGACATCATTCTCAGCTACGTTGTTGACATTCCTAGCGAGGTTCTTAGAAATGAGTTTCAGCGAAACAAACGACACCAAGACCCAAACAACTCTGCCGACTCTACTCAAAATGACTCAAGTAGTCGACCTCAAAATATATTCGAGGCTCCGTCTGCTATCACAGCGGCCAAAACTCTCCTCTCATTAGCGCAAGTAGACCGCTGGTTCTACGATGCCATAATCTACAAACGACAAAACTTTTTCCTACGCGCTTTGCGTAACTTTGGCTGGATGCTACCATTCACACCTGCCGATTGGAACGACAACAGCTGGACTAAAGACGTCCTCGCCGACACCTCCTCCTCGCGCCAGTCTGAGATTGATTGGCGGCACTACATGCTCACTTGTGTGGAAAAGAGGGACCCGCATATTCGCAATCGTTGGAGGTTTCACAGAATGGCTATTCAGTTTGCGCGAGGGACGAACAGGTACAGGAGCGAGGAACACCCCGATTGGTTTTGGAACGTGGGCAGCCTTGGATTTAAACCAAGCTTGAATAAACCAGACCCTGAAATATGGGAGCAATATTCTTGATAGCCGGCCGAAAAAGAATAAATTGTATAAAAGTCATAAATACAGCAATCTTGCATATGTTAAGCGTGGGGCAGATAGAACCAGCAGCTGAGCACTTAGTCTATGTCAATATGCTTTCCTATTCTTCTTCAGAGTGTATTGAGTATGATCTTTATTATCTTTGCTCAAGACAGGGATGTTAGCATAGCAAAATACCTACTTGACAATTGAATAAGCAGGTAACTGTTATAACCTCGAGATGAGATAAGTCCTAAAAGTCTTCCAGCTTGTATACCTCATACGCCGGTTCCTCATACGGATGAGCTCTAAAAAACAAAAATTTAGTTCCATTCACTTCCCATACCCCTTCGTATATGCAATCGCATCGAATATCTTGCAAACTTACTTCTTCAACGCCTCCACAGCCGCCTTCGCCACATCCCTCCCAACACAAGGCGCCTCAACCCTTACTTCAGTAACAGATTCCAACTTATCCACCGTCCCAATATGCGGATTCGCCCCCGCGACCGGTCGAAACTGCCCAGTACCCGACGTCGTCCAACAGCATTCGGTATACGAGCTATTTGGATAGATACCAGCCCCGGCAGCAAAGATGGCAGCTTTGCAGGCTTCGACATGAGTTTCTGGGACGTAGAATATGAGTCGAAAGACAGTGGCCATGTTGTGATGACGCCCTTTTGCTTCAGAAAAGAAGAAAGCTGCTGGCTGAGATTTGGAGTAGCTGAGTGATGGTATGCGTGCCCGGAGGAGTTGCAGAGTGCGGGGACGAAATATCTGAAATGCAATGGTCTTCATCTGATCAAAAGTGTTGGCAAAGGACAGCTTCTCCGCAGCAGCGCCAGAGAAGTTGGTGATTTAGGACTGCCCTGACGTTTGGCCATTGTTAGCTTACCTAATTATGCTTGGCCGTGCTTCTATGTGCTGTGGAACAGACTTTCCGTTGCAGACTTCCAGCTTAACAAAGCAAAGCCAATATAAAACTGTGCATTCCGCAGTAAGTTAGTACAAGCAAACTTGCAGACTCTCTCGAATGCAACTACACTTTGAAAAAAAGATATTGCGGCTCACTCCATATACCGCAAAAGAGAAACTACGTCTTTTGCCATATGTTTATCATGCGTTGTCTTTCCGATTATTACCTCTAGAGAGAGATAAAATGCAAATATTCACAGAAATTGAGTTTTGAAAGGATAAAGTAATAAATTTGTAATAAAGTTCAAAGGACATATGCCGTCCGCTGTATATTGTATCAACGCCAGTTTTAATGCCGTGCCCAAGTATATATCAGTACATCAAGAAAAGCTAGTAAAAATATATGATATCAAAGAAATAAAACGTTAAAAAGAAAAGGAAAACCATATGCCTATTTAGTTAGCATACGGCCCGTAACGCCATCGCTTTCCATTCTCTTCGACCCACCAGCGGGCCATAAATGCAGCTTCTTCGACCCATTTCGCGGCATCGACACCGTGTGATTTCTCAACACTATACATGAAATTAACAAAATCGAAACCGAGCAACGTTTGTGCTCCAGTTGGGTCTGTCATTAGATTCGTAAACTGCCACTCGACATTGTCAATGATGGGCACGATGAGGAGCCAGTCAGAGTGACGAGCGTCGCGGATGCTCAACATGGCGCGACCTGGGTTGATGACGGTGAATTGCCAGTTGCCCTGGCTGGTTTCATTGGACGACGCATGGAGTGGGCGAATCAGAGATTGTCCTTCGTAGTTTTGGACCAAATCAGATGCGGCTTGCGACTGTGACTCGGAAAGGGAGCCTGTTTCGCGGAGGAGGTCGAGGATGGTAGGCAAAATTTGCGATGAAATCACCGCATTATCAACATCGATTACCGGCAGCTTCGGGTGGGAAAAAACAAGAGGTACGCGTAGGGTGCCAACATTCGGGTTGTAGTAGGGCGCCAAGATGTTGTTTTCCGGCATGGACACGCCATGATCGCCAACCAAGACAACAAGAGTCTCATCCGCAACACCTTCGTCATCGAGAATATCCATAATCTTGCCCAGCCATCTGTCGTCGTAGCCGATGGCATTGAGATAATGTGAGATATCATCCAAGCCGTTTCCTAGAGGCGTATATTTCTCCTCAGCTGGAATAGCAAATGGGTGATGGCTTGTACTGGTCAGATGTGTGACAAATGCTCGCTCGTCATTCTTCTTGGCCTGCACAAATGCGTCTCGAATGTAGTCCTCAACGGCGATATCAGCCATGCCAAAGTAGTTGACGTCTGGTAGATCCACCCGGCCGAATTTGGCAAAAGGACTCTTGAGATATTCTTTAGAGACCAAGCTTTCCGGGGAGATGCCCATTTTTGACAAGAGAGGCACATATCTATCGTAGTTTTTGGTTACGGATTGCATGAAAGTAGAGCGCCACTTGAACAATGTGAAATCGTCAGAATTCCGGGCTTCGTGGGGAGGAGGAGGAGGAGGACCGCCGTGGGGAGGAGGAGGGGGAGGACCGTCGTGGGGGGGTGGAGGAGGAGGAGGATCGTCATGAGGAGGAGGGGGGCCGTGGTGACCAGGACCGTGATGATGACCAGGAGGACCGTGATGACCAAGGGGGCCATAGGGACCACGGTCGTCACGGTCATCATAGTCATCGTGGTCAAGTCGGTTGAAGGCCTCGAAGATCTGGGGCAAGCATGGCTGGTAGAAGTGGTGAAGATACTCGAGATTGAAATCTGCCATGAGCGGTGTGAGGCCGCACATTGTGCCCACGATACTCTTGATAGTATAGGTGGCAGTGGTAAAGACGTTGTTGAAGTTGATACCGCCGCGCTTCTTCTTCTGTTGGTGCTCAAAGCCATCGTCGTAATCACCGGTGATGTAATTGGCATTGGAGGTTAGTTTTGCCAGTGCAGCTTGGGTCTCGTCGGGCAACGTGCCGTTGCTATATGAGTTTGCCAAGCGGTTCCAGACAACACCATCCTTCTTCAGAGGGAAGACGTCTTTTCGTGTGCTTTCGAGAAGGATGAGCATGACGTGGCGAATTGGAACGTCCCCCAGCTTGCCTTGCAGGGCTGGCAGCAGCTTCTCTTCCAAGTTGGAGATTTTGAGCGGATCTGCGCCGGCACTGTAATGCTCGTCGTTCCTGTACCAGTCTCCAAATCCGGGAACAGGCCTCTCAGGCAGCCAGGAGAACGGGGCTGGGTCAGCCAGAGCGGTGAGATTATCCCACGAGCGCCCAATTCCGGTGCCATAAATAGGCTCCAAGTGATCCAGGCTTGGAGACGAGAAGCTGAAGTCGACGAAAGGTAAGAGGGCGGGTGTCCAGGACAAGAAGTTCAAGGCACTCTCGTTTGGCCGGATCATGATCAGAATGACATGAGTAAGCAGTGCGCAGCCAATGAAAACGTAGAACAATCGCCTGAGAATGATCATTGACGTCTTGCTCTTCATGTTGCAATATTCTTCTTCCTCCAGCTCGTCGTACGTATTGGCAAGCTCAATATCGAGCTGTGGTACCTGAGAGTAAGTGGTCGGCGCACCTGATTTACGCAGAGCAAAGGAGATGGGCCACTTAAGAATATCGGTGGCCACACCCGCGGTCTTGTAGCAGATATCTTGCAGGACATAGGCGACAAAGAGAACGGTGGCAAGCACAAACAAGAAGGACGCCAGACCAGACAAAAACATGCCGAGGGACGACGCATCGCCCGCCAAACCAATGTTGCGCCAGTGAATTTCTGAGCCGCTGACTGCAAAAAAGGATACCGTCAAAACGCCCACCGTGATGAGATATGCGATGATGATGGAGGCCAGAGTCATCGTCACTCTTCGCAGCCAACCAGATCCCTCTACCAGCCACGGGTCGAGCAGCAGTCGCACGAGCACGAGAAGCGCGGCATCCTGAGCAAAGAACGAATAGCCCCACCGCACCAGGTGAACAACTGGTAACGAAGACAGATGTGTGTAGATGTGGACGCCCTTGGCGCTGAAGATGGAGACGGTTGCGACAGCAAAGGCAAAGCGCCGGTTTGCGAGACGGGAAGCGAGGTTGGCAAAAAGGCGTCGGCGTGTCAATCGGCTAGCGATGGCAGAAGCGACACGTCGTGTCATGCCGGGGCGTATGGGAGAGGGCGAGGCATCGAGCCGACTGCCAGCGGGCGGCCCCATGATGGGTGGTAGATGTCGGGAGACTTGTTCGATTCGGTATCGCCGTTGTGGTCGAAGAGAGGAGAGACAATAGGAGAAGAGGGAGGAGAAGAAAGATGTTCAGGGTAGTAAATGATAACAAGATGATGCTAGTGAAAACAGAGTCGACCTCGGAAGAAAGGAAGGGTATTTTAGATTCGAGAGGAGTCGCACAGCAGCTGGCCTTGGCGGACCGTGCCTGGAGTGTGAGGGAGCGACTCGAGGAGGAGAGATTGCTCGCAGCCTCTCATGAGGAGGTTTTGGACGGAAGGGTCGAGGATGAGGACGAGGGTGAGGACGAGAAGAGAGACGAAGCAAGCGGAGTAGAGCAGAGCGAGCAGAGCAGAGCGAGCAGAGCCAGCAGGGAGCGAAAAGGTCCGGCTCGATAGGCGAGATTGAGCAGCGGCTAGGCGCAAAAGAACGAGAGCACAGACGCTGCGGATGGAGGTGAGGCACGAACCGCACGACGAAGCCCGAAGGAGTGGAGGGCAGCTGAGCGGTCGACTAAAAAGGAGCGTTGCGAGCTGAGGATGGTTGGTGTAGGAAGAACAGAAGAAGAGCACGAGGCTCTCGCGCTGAGAGTCGTGCAGCAGGCGGCGGTCGCTAGCGGCACGGGCTCAGTGGAGCGGCCCAGCGGTACAGCGGTACAGGTACCTACAAACGCACTAGGACGGCGCCGTCGCACGAGGTCGCGCGAATCAGCGGCAGTGGGATGCGCCCCAGCCCCTGGCGGGTGTGGAGAGGCGACTGCCTCTGACGAGGGGCTCCTGGGGGCTGAAGCGCTGCTGCAGGCGCTGTAGTTTTAGGTACATGCAGCCAAAAGAAGGGGGGTGGCCAGGCCTTGGAAAGGCGCACCTGGGGCAAACTCCGCCAACTCAGCCCCCCGCTAGCTCGCTGTGGCTTCGAGAAGCACGCCCTGGGAGGCGAGAAGCGCACTTTGTTGATTGTCAGGAGGCGCAGAATGGGCCGCAGTGGGCTTCAACAGCAGGATCGCCGTTCGTGGCGCGGCTGATTGGGCAGAGAATCGTGCGTGTCGCGTGCTTCTGTTGAAACGGCGCTCTTTCTTAATGGGCGATTTTGTGAGGCTCGTCCATCATGACATGTGTGCAGGCTATTTTTACTATTTTTACACGCCATTGCGGCTTGCCAGTTCGCAGCAACACCACGATGTCAATGCTTATTGCTCACCAAAACACCCCTGCTGACTAGACTGCATGTATCCATCATCTGTCTGCCTTGTAGTCTATTTCGCATTTGGCTGCCGACATGAAGCGTCACCTGCGTCGGAGTGCAATATCTAAACACTCGACACCTCGGCAAATACATGCACTCGTGCGTCAATATCGCAATCGAAGTATACGTGCACCTACAGGCAAACACATCTCACTGCAGCAATCCGGACTCTCTGATGGTGCGAAACTGCGCTTTCGGCATATTCCGCTAGTCCATCCGCCCATACAGGCTCAATGTCGATACGCGCATCGCCAGAGCAGGCTCGGGATATGTCTTGGCTCCCCCACGCAAGCGGGTATTTGATGGTACAGTTACCCTTCTTGACTGCCGTTGAAAGCCAGGACTAATAATCATCAATTACTGATTACAAGTGGGTAGTATCACAAATCCATCAGTCAGGTGCCGGCAGACCGTTGTTGAATGAATCGACGTGGTTTACCTGCGTCTCAGGTGCATGATTGCTGCAAGCCGACGTCGAGCAGTACGACGCGCAGCAGCTAGCGTCCTACTGTCTTTTGCCTAGTTGTAGTTTAATATCAAGTCAAAGGTAACGACATACAAACAATGGTACAAGTAGGCGTCTGCACCTCCAAGAAACAACCTCTCCATCCAAAGTACATGTTCGGCACCCCGTAGCATCGTCAGTGGCACACGTGTGGATGCGACCTGGTCCGTTTGTCGACGTCGCCCATCTCCGTCTTTTGCTGTGGGCGGGCCTCGGCCGAGATGAAGCCTCACGGTTCGCTTCCCATCAATATAAAAGGCGGTGGCAGTTTTCTAACCTGATGTGTGCAAAGAAATGGACACACGACCGTGTAGCCGAAGAGTCGGCAAAAAGGGGCTGCTACGGGCCTTCCTGAGACGGAGGGAGAGGGCCGTGCTGCTACATGTACTTGGACTCTGCATGGGACTACGAGCTCCACACCTCAAATTGCTGCTGAATGCAGGTACACGCGAGGTACATGTAGGTAGATGCCTCTGGTGTATCCAAAGATTTTATTGCACTGTAGTGGTAGCAGTATGAGGCTCAAGATTATGCTGAAGTACTGACATGAGTCTTTGGGGAGTCCAAGATCACTGCATGTATATACACTCAGTTCAAATGTGCTGCTCCCTGGGCGACGAGCCGATGGTACCTACATGTAGCAATTCAGTGTTGCGCGACGCCAAGAGATTCTAGACATTGAGCTGACTAGACTCCGTACAATAGATTCTTACAACCCCATAATTTTCATCTCTGAGCGTCTGTTATAGCAGGTAATAGGGAGCACACCATATACTACTCGGCAATTGCTCGTTACGGGTAGCGGTAGTACTCGGTAGCATCCACATGCTCTCCGTGAGCTGGTGCGCTTTCGGGGAAAAAGGGGTATCGCGAGGTAACTCTACTCTACCTCGCCTATACTTGTGGCAACAGGTTGCGAGTAATCCTGTGGAGCGGCGCTGCCTTTGTCTTCCTCCACCTTGTCTTGGTCCCTTTTGACTTGGAGAGGAAGAACATTCAGACACCAAGCATTTTAGCGCCCGCCCCGGGGCGAATCCCTCCCATGGCCCAGAACCGTTATTGCAGATTGAGTTGGAAGCCAAGACTGACTGCCTAGATCCCTTGGGATATTTGACGTAGGCGAAGCGTATCGGAGAAAACTGTCTCTGGCGCCATGTCTACCAAACTAGGTCATTTACATTACAGGTAGATAGATGCACACATGTAGATAGTTGCACATACTAGTACTAGAATTTGATCATCACGCCCGCTTGTTTCTTACCAACGAAGATCTGTGCCTGTTAGTGACAAAATGCCTACTGACTCGAGTTGACTTTACAAAGTACCTACATATCCACGTACAAGCAAGAGAGCTTGCTTGCCAGCGGCTATCGCAGAGGCCAGGCGTTTTCTTCGACACTTTTCCCCACGCATTTCGTCATTGGTGTGGTCCCAAGCCGACGATCACAGCGAGCCTTACCAAAACGGCATCAGCGTTCTTACATCCATCTCGGGGTACAGCAGAGTGCTGCCAAGGTGCAGTGCGGCGCCTGAAGCTACGAAACCTCCGTACAATTGTGAGGCAGTCTTGGCAGTAATGTGGTACTGATGCGAGCAAGGATCTCGGCCTTTGCAGGCGAGAGAAGCGGCAGTTTTTTGGTAGGCGGCTAAAATTAGACGGCAACATGCATATACACAAAGATATGAATCAGCATCATGTCCGAAATTTTACATACAAGTGTACGTGGCCGATTATTAAATACATCCATTCGTTACGTGTACGCGTATCTCGCACATATCTTCAACATATTCGACCTATTCAAGAATGTCTTCTACCACCGTGTTTATCTAAAGGTGTGTACTGTACCCGAGTTTCTTAGAGGCTGGTAAGAGTGGATCACGAGAGAGGGCGCATATCCAGCAGAATGGAGAAGCATTCTTTCCTCTAGAGAAGAAACGAGAAAGAAAGGGGAAAGCGAAGCGGAAAGGGAAAGACATGATATTAGGCATTTGATGATTTGCTCCGTACCTTCTAGTAAATACTAGGGATCGAACCATCCCATACTATAGGCGTGTGTGGCGTCTCCTCTTTAGCCAACAACCGCGCCAGTAGCTCATTTGCCTACTTGGAAGCTGAAAATAGGTTGTAAGTAATCTTTCCAGTTGCAGTTCTCCCTCAGAATTTTCGTAAACAATGTGAGTCTCTTATTGAATCAATTCAATTTGGTTAAGTGTAGGACAATTATAGATATGTATTGTCCTTTGTGGGGGTGATCGAACGATCTCGGGTCACATTCCGCGGTGGCGTCAAAGTTATTCCTACGAGAAGAAAAATTTTGCTGGTTTCTTTTTAGCAAGGACGCTTGGAAATGGAGAAGAGGAATTAACTATTAAGCGCCGTGGCAAGCTAAGTAGTTTCGCAGAGGATCCCAGAGCAGGGTTGGCGAGCGAATACTATATCACAACATTGTGCTACTAGTTTTTCTTGCCCAGCGCAGCTCTTGTAGCAGAGCGTTGCCATTGTGGTCACCGTTATGAGCGAACATTGATTAGTAGAAGACATGGCTGCGTTATGGCCTGGAGAAGAATAGGTGTTTATATAACCCGACGTATCTTGGAGTTAAACTAGCCTGGTAACCGTATTGAAGTCGCTGAAAGTCCTCCTCATCGTTATTGTTATTATTCTTGATTGGGGAGAAGATGGGATAGGGTAAGCTCTTACAACAAGCAAGGAAACTATATTCACATGTATTATAGCTGGTGGTTACGCGCACTGGAGAGGCAAAATGGATCACCCGTATGTTCAAATTGAGCCAACTTATATTGATACCTTAACAAAAGACATAGTATAGTTTCGTTCATTTGCCGAAAATAAAATAAAAAATGATGAAAATGTAAGCTATACAGGGTAAAGTTGTTCTCGTGCTGTTTCTCATAATCAAGATGGAGAGGTCTGAAAGAGCTTCTAGAATATCCATCATTTTGGGCAGGAGGCACCAGTAAGACGGCATTGCTATGTTCATATGACATACCAAGGAACTACCTGTGTTTGCGAAGCATAGCATACCAAGCCCCAGACCCCGGGCCAAAGTATGGCTGCAGTTGGTTAATTTCCTCTGAAAATGCTTCAGTCTGGGTGCCGTCCTCATGGAGCTAACAAGAGTTCGTCAGCAAACGTAATTGTGAAATGCCATTCGTTGATATAGGGTTGACCTTACCTCAATACTCTCCCACCCGAGGTAGTAAACTCCAAGCCTTCGGTGCGCCTTGGGAACAGCCTTTTTACCTGGGGTCAAACAAGATACTCCTGCAGTCTCATTTGTATTCATTGCATATGCCCAATAGCCGCCTGTAAACCCCTGGATTTGGTAAGTGTCGGCATATGTTTTGTGCATTGACTTTTGTAGAGCTTCATTTTCCAACGGCGCATCATCTTTCAGCCGTATGCACGCCTTACATGTTTGTCAGTAAAGTCAGAGCGTAAACATGCGAACAGATCGACTCAAAATAGGTATTTGAAGCGATTGGAGAAGATGACAGAGGGAGTATTGGAGAATGAATACCTACAAATTCGCAAACGGGAGCTTCAAGAGCCTTTGCGAGATTCTCCAACTGAGCATCGTCAAATTCGAATAGCAAGGATGTCGCATCTTTAATGCCAGTCGTAGCTAACCCTTCCACCACGGCACTGCGATCACGCAAATCGTCAGGCCATTCTAATTGTTGCGCAAATCAGATGAATATCATAATGTATTTTCTGTGATTCGGAAAATACTCACGAACTACCCAGCATACCTCGTGGCGCTTTCTGGGTAGGCTCAAGACTCTTGTAGGCGCGGTATAGCCATAGTACTGAGCAGTCGCACCTCTTGCGGCAATGCTTTGGCGCAACTTCAAGAACTCTGCTGAGGATATGGTAGATCCTGACGGAAATGTGAAACGCAGTACTTGGGATAGCATTGTCTTGAAATCTGGCAGGGTATTCCAGTTTTGAACGTCGAAATAAGGTGAACAAACAAACCCTGAGTGGCTATAACCCCATACTTATGGTAATGAGGCGCCAATCTTATGCCATTGCGCGCGTTGCACACTTTTCCTAATTGATGGGAAGTCTCGAATTCACGAACAAAAATACGCGCGCAGGTCGAATTCTCAATAAAGCCATGTAATGCCGATATTGGCGTGAATACGGTACAGTCCTGTACTGGCATCTCCGCCGCAAGCGGAGTTCCGCATCTAGGCTCAGAAAGCCTATATACCACCTATCAAGAGATGAACTCGAATGAGCTGAAAGTAAAGATCGAGTGCTGGATTGATCTGGATATAGATAAATACGCGTATACGTATATAGCCAGCGCGCGCTCTCCTAAAACGCCTTGGTGTCTAGGTGGGATGCGATAGCCTCTTACATAACAATCAGTTAAATCGAGCTTATCAGGTTCGACTACCAGAGAGGGTTCAATTTTTAACACCAAGTTGGTTTTTTACTTAACGAATTGGAATCCCAGCATCATGGAGAAGAGATTAAAAACAACCCGGCAAAATAAATGCTTGTACTTGGATACCAGCGATTCTCACATATCTGACCTAAGCATTCATAATTTGTTTTTGATGGGGACAATGCCAGCTACCAGATTGAAGGCAGGTCGGAGCTCCGACTGGGCTGAATTGCCCGCTATAAAATGCCGAACTCAGCTGTGAATTCATAGCATGTTAGCATTGGGCAGGTTGATTATATTAACAGAAATTTAAAGACAGAATGTTTGCACTTGGCTCACTTATTATGCCAACGAACGATATAAGGCCACACTAGCACCCCATATCTTCGCAAGGATACTTTAAATCAGTACTGATACAGCATACCATTGGGCCATATGAAGTTCATCATTTGGGATACAATTCTCGCGAGCCATGCTCGATACGAATTACCTGATACTGACATGTTCACGGTACTTATTCTGCATTTCTGCCAGTTAGGCAAAGTCCAAAATATGGACTCTTTAAGCTTTCACAGAATTCCCCAGTCTTTGTTTCTCGCTCTGTGAGGTAAAAGAAACATCTTCTTCCCGTCAATGAGAATTTTTGCAATTGGATAAGTGGAGTTAAATGAAGCATTTGTCAAATACGAGCATGGGTGATACTGTACGCTCGAAGCTGTGGTCCTTGTTCTTGTCTCCAGCATACCGAATGCGATTAATAGTAATTACTAGGCTTACAATCTCTTATGGATTTACTCGTAGTATTTTCAAAGGGCCACTTCTGAAGAAAGCAGCGTTTTGTGATGGCGGTTCTTGACGGATACAACAATCACTCTTCATACTTCATTATCATCTGGGTGGGTCAAACTTAGCTTGCAAGGAGCAACTATGAAGACATGACTTGTCATTGCAGTATTGAAGGGTTAAGAATTGCTCACCGTTGAATGATCGAAAGGGATATATATCATGACGGCAATTACCTCGGTAGAATCTTACTACCCGAGGAAACGATTACAGGATTACGGAGTACAATCTAAAGAAAATAGCCACGCCCTACAATGACAGCAAGATAAAAGATAAAAGAATTCCGTCAGCGGTCCAAATTCCGCAAAAGCCGGATGCCATATTCCCGTCAATAAGCGTTAGATTGATAACGCGTTGTTGTCATAACTTATCAATCGGCGCTAGGATGACGCTTCGGACTCCGATTTACCACTCCCGACATCTCCTTCCTGTAATTTGCAGATCCATCCGGATAGAACATCTCCGCGGAAGTCTAAATAAATAGCTATTTTGGATGATGAATAAGATAAAAGTTTAAGAAAAGGGATATATCTGACTCTCTTTGCCGCAAGAAGCTAGTAATCCTGACTCATAGCTTGACGCTGTCACTATTAGCTAATAATTTCTCCGGTCCTTCGCTGGTTTCATTCTAGACTATATATACTCTCTAACCCATCCACACATCTTCCGTTCGTCATTGCTTCAAACAAACTCTCATCGTATTTTCCCAGTGTATGCAATTGTGTTTATTAGCACCATACGCTTGAAAACATGTCGACGATAACTCAAACGACGGATAAGAAGATTGCGTCTCATGGCCGATATTCTCAAGATGCCATCTCATTGACCCAGCGTAGCCGGCATGGACCGCCAAGCGAAGCAGTCGAATCTGCACGCTCGCCATCAATCGCTCCCGCAGAGACCTCCGAAACGCCATCTCCTTCGAACCGGTACGCTTCATGAGTAGTATAATTGGCCATAACTTTCCGGCACGATGAGTCTTCCCCATCTCTTCCCAGCAGGTACTAATCCTTCCTATAGGCAAGCGGTTATCATCACTGCCGCCTCGTTTACGATTGTCTTCACCTGCTGCGGTATCAATTTTGCGTTTGGAATCTTCCAAGCCGTGTTTGAAACCCTTTCGCAGCAGCCGGATACCCCCTTTACCGGAGCATCACCCGCAATGATCGATCTTATCGGCACCATGTCCATCTCGCTCATGACCATCGGCGCTCCGTTTGTGGTCGCCTGGGCCAAGCGCTTCTCGCCTCAGTTGATATCGCTTATTGGGTCGGTCATATTCTCGGCTTCGCTCATTCTGGCGAGTTTCGGAAAGTCTCTGTGGCATTTCGAAGTCACGCAGGGGGTTCTGCTTGGACTGGGCACCTGCATGAGCTACATGGTTGCCGTGACGATTGCTCCTACATGGTACACTACTCGCCGTGGTCTTGCTCTGGGAATCATCACCTCTGGTACTGGCGTTGGGGGTCTTGTTTGGGCTCCTGCGCTAAAAGCCGCGATCGACTCCATGGGCTATAGAAATGCCCTGCGCCTTGCTGGAGGAATCGCCTTTGGGCTCAATGTCGCAGCCAGCTTCGCTATGGAATGGGAGCCAGCGACAAAGGCTCGTATCCAAGTGGAGAATGGTGCAAGAACCAGCCGCATTGATGGCATCCTCAAGGTGCCCATTATTGACTGGCGCGTGGCACGATCACGCAGATTTCTAGCTCAAGCAATGGGCGCTGTCTTTCAGTCCGCCGTCTACTATCTCCCGCTCTTCTTCTTCGCAACCTACGCGAGAACCCTGGGCTACAGCGACACGGCCGGCGCAAACTTCATTGCCTTGAGCAACGCGTGCAACGCCATTGGGAAAATCGTCATCGGCTACGCAGCAGATCATTGGGGCCGACTGAATTGCCTTGTGATTACCACCATCATCAGTGCCATTGCGACTGTTAGCTTCTGGCTTCCTTCAACAATTTCTGGTAATCTAGAAACATCACAGGCCCTGTTCATCACGTTCACGGTCCTTTACGGTATCTTTGCCAGTGCGTACGTGGGCCTGTTTCCCGCCAGTTTGGTGGAGCTATTTGGTGTCCAGAACTTTGCCTCTGTTAACGGAGTGCTCTACATGGTGCGAGGCATGGCTTCGCTCGTAGGCACTCCAGTTGGCGGCGTATTGATCCGTAACCATTCTTCGGGCAGCCCTGCGAGATCGTACGAAGGCATGACGCTGCTGACCATGGCCTGCCTCTTTGTTGCATCTGTCGCAGTCATATGGGTGAGGGTAGAGGCGATGGTAGGGCCTGATGGAAGGCTTGTCAGGAAGTGGAAGATGTGAAACGCGTCTTCTTCAAAGAGCCTTTTGCGATGCTGCTGTTACTTGGCTTTTCCGAGCTTACAGTTAGCTTGCATGAAGCAGATACATGTATCTAACATCGTTTGCTCTTACTATCAGGGCAACGGGCTATTGCAGCCACCAACATCACGAACGGAGGAAAATGTACGGAAAATCTTTCAGAAAGATACCGCTGCTGAAAGAAGGATATAATACACAAAGGGGGGTATAAAAATAGGGTTTCTTCTTTAGGCGAATCGAAGACCAGAATAGGTTTCGCTTTGAACTCATTTTCCAACACTCGCTTTGAACATGGCACATCTCTTATTCTTGTTCCCCCTTCAAGTGACTTGCCTCTGTAATGCCAATTTCGCATTCAAATTATTTTATTATAGGTAGCATGTTGCGCACACAATAAGAGACTCGCGACTTTGCAAAGACCAATCGGCATCTATACAGATGAAGTTTTGCCTTCGAGACAGGCTTCTTGTTGCTCTGTAATATTCATAAAGAAGCGCCCAATAAAGCTGCGTCAAGCTGCTAAATGAAGTATCTTACTATCTGTGGCGTCTAAGCCCAAACCGTTTTGGGCCCAAGGTGGCGATTTGCACCGGTGAAGCTGCATCAGCCCGTCACATAGCTGGACTTAATGCAAGCAGGTTATTTCAAGTGGCTGACGGATCTACCGGATAGCACAGCTGTCACACAGCCAAGATCGGGCGCGATGCAGCTCCAGGCTCTACCCATGGCCCTACATATCATCCCTCCATTACCTCGACAGTCTTTCAAGCTAACTATGGTTCATCTAACAAACCGCCAAGACGACAGCAGATTGCGGCCTGGTCTCTCTGTTTGGACCTGCAAGTGAATCCGAAATGCTGCTCAGCCGGACTCGATCGAATACAGCTCCCCATGTCAGAGCTGATGAACGACTCAAAAAGGACGTGGCACCAGAGGAAAAAGGATGCTACGGATGCGACGGAAGATTCAAGGTATGCTTCGAAACAGATACTGGGGGCCTGGTGAGCTGGTGCAAGGACCTCCAAGAGGCATCACAGCGAGTGAAGAACGATGTCTGCTCTGATCCCGTATTCGAGAGACGCAAGTCAACAGGGGGCCTCCGTCCTCCATTGAACATTGCAATACTCATAGTCGGTTCCCGCGGCGACGTCCAGCCCTTCATCCCAATCGCCCAGATCCTCTCCAAGCCGCCGTACGAGCATCGAGTGCGCATCTGCACGCACCCTGCATTCAAAGACTTTGTCGAGGCTCAGGGCGTCGAGTTCTTTTCCATTGGCGGCGACCCCGAAGCCCTCATGTCCTACATGGTGAGGAATCCGGGGCTGTTTCCCAACCGGAAAAGCGTCAGGGCCGGTGATATTGGGAAACGAAGGGCAGAGATGTGGGAGATTATCAACGGTGCGTGGCGAGGCTGCACTGAAGCCGGCAATGGAATGGGAGAACCTGTCAGGGCTACAGATGTCGAGGACGTTGAGGATCTCTTTCTCGCAGACGCCATCATCGCCAACCCGCCATCCATTGCACATATACACTGCGCCGAAAAGCTGGGAATCCCGCTGCACATGGTCTTCACAATGCCGTTTTCTCCCACTTCGGCTTTTCCACATCCACTGGCCTCTATGAACTATGCAGGTGCAGATGCCAAGACAGCCAACTATCTTTCCTTTGTCGTGATGGAATTGTTGATGTGGCAAGGGTAAGTCGTTATGTCGTATATATGAGCTATAACGGCATTCGTCTCTGCTAACTTTGCTCCCGTTGATAGTCTCGGAGACTTGATCAACAAGTTTCGCCGCAAGCTTGGGTTGGATCCCATCAGCGTCATGTGGGGATACCAACTCTTGTCCAGACTCCGCGTGCCATTTACCTATCTCTGGGCCCAGTCTCTAATACCCAAGCCACCTGACTGGGGGTCGCATATCAACATCGCCGGATATTCATTCCTGCCGCTCGCCAGCTCTTACACACCTCCGCCCGACCTGTTAGCCTTTCTCGAGGAAAGTCCCGCTCCCATATATATTGGTTTCGGGTCTATTGTTGTTGAAGATCCCGATCGTCTTTCAGCGCTCATCTTCGGAGCTGTGAAGCTCTCTGGGGTTCGTGCCATCATCAGCAGAGGGTGGAGTGGCGTGGGAGACAAGTGTGAAGTCCCCAAAGAAGTCTATTTGATTGACAACTGTCCACACGACTGGCTATTCAAGCGTGTCGCAGCGGTGGTCCATCATGGAGGCGCCGGCACCACTGCCGCTGGAATCGCAGCAGGGCGACCTACCGTCATTGTCCCTTTCTTTGGCGACCAGCCTTTCTGGGGAAAGATGATTGCACGCTCTGGAGCTGGACCGGAACCAGTGGCGTTCAAAGCATTGACTGCGGAAATCTTGGCCGAGAGCATAACTTTTGCGTTGACGCCAGAGGCTCAAGAGGCCGCAAAACGAATGGCGGAGGAGATATCTCAAGAGGATGGCGCAGAAGATACCGCCAAGAGGTTCCAAGACCGCATTGGTCTGGACAAGTACGAATGCGAGATCTGCCCAGGACGCTTAGCTACCCATTGGCACAAGAAAACGAGGACGCGCCTGAGTGGCTTTGCTGTTGCATGTCTCGTTGATCGCGGGCTAATACAACCCCCTGAGCTCGAGCTTATACGACGCAAAAACTGGTACGTCGATGAAGGCGTTGAGCATCCTCTGGTGGGGTTTGTATCTGCACTCACCGGCCCCATGATGGATTACACCACGGCAACGTTCGACTACACTCATGCTCTGAAATCTCGACCGAAACATACTCCTGCGCCTCCAGAAGGTAGAAGGCAGTCATGGCTTGATCCATGGTCCGCAGAGAAGATCGAGAATGGCTCAATAGCAAGCAACGGGACATCTCCAAGTCGTCGAATCAATCCCACCACCTTTTCTCGCAGAGAAATGGAGCTGTATGCCTCTAAAGTGGCGAGGAAATCCATAAAGACCAACAACGCCGACATCGACACCCTTATTCGAGCGCCGACCCTCTATGATAAACAAAAGGCGGCCTGGCTCGCTCGAGAAAGAGGTCGAAACGGCCGCATCTTCTATTTGACTCGTGCGACGGGCCGATATGCTTCTGAATTGACCAAAGTAACCCTAAAAGTCCCCGTAGCTTTCTTTTACAACATTGCAAATGGATTTCACAATTATCCTTCGGTCGGTTTTGCAGGGGTTGAAGTTCGCCGCCGCGATCAGATCATCGACCTCGAAACAGGTCTTGCGGCAGCCGGCAAAGAATTTACGCTCGGAATGTGGGAGGCCTTCAGCGGGGTGGTTGTCTGGCCTTACAAAAGTATTCATGACGAGGGTGCGAAAGGAATTGGCAAAGGCGTATGGCGCGGCTCAAAGGGCTTTTTCTCCAATTTGGGTGCCTGTGAGTAATCATTCCTCCCATTCCTTCTGTTCAGTAATCACACGTTTAGGTTACGGTTATTGCTTCAAAGGAACTTGACAACAGGTTACTAATCTTGGCGCAGCAACTTTCGGCCTACCTGGTTATACCCTCAAAGGCGTGGAAAGGGAGCTGCAAAAGCATCATCTCACCAATTGTAAAGCCGAAGTCATTCTAATCAGGCTACGGCAAGGCATTGAAGCCTTTCGAAGTGCAACTCCACGAGAGAGAGATGGAGTCATCTATCGATGGAAGAAACACCTCCAGAAGAAAGGTGTTTAAATTCCAGTTGGAGTTGATCTGTGGTCATCTTGGCGCCCTATACGATATAGCTTGGGAGTTGTGAGAAAACAGAGAGCTGCGCAATGACCAGAATAAAAGCTGTATGAAAGAGGTTTGAATTCAAGACTGATTGAAGCTTACTGAATAGCCAATCAGTATGTAGCCCAAATAAAGTTCTTCAGACACTGTAATCGTAACCACTGTGTTCTACCCCACAGATACTAAACAATTTGAATCATAATTCCTGTCTTATTAATCAATGTTTAGACAGCTTCATTTCATCTCACCTAATCTTAATTATTGCTAATCGAAATTGTGCTTATTGAGTTGAAATATAAACATACCTATTGGATTTCCAAGATCTTGAAATCTATGCTTATCAAATCTACCATCGGAAAGCTTACGTGAAGAGGGTCCATGGTTTTAAACTAATTTCTGCTTACCTTCCCTAGCTACACTAGTAAATGCTCGTGCCTGTCTGCGATTGTAGCTGTTAATGAATTTGTAATAGCAAATGCGATAAATAAAATAATTGTGAAAATGATTTCGAGCGGAGTATAGGCTACTAGCAATTCTGTTATTTAAAGCTCGCAAGGAAACAACAACTTACTATATACTGAAATGAAGAATATTCATTAATTGTACTTACTATACAAAACCAGACACTCTAAACTATTTGCAAAATGCCACAGATCAAGGTTTTGCTTACCGGAGCATCAGGTTATATGTAAGCCATTAGGGTTTTTAAGATGCGAGTTTACACTAAATATCAACAGTGGTGGTTCTGTACTTCAAGTTCTATTAGACGATTTCGGAAAAGAAATTGCCATCTCTGCACTTGTCAGGTCAATAGCGAGTCGCGATGGAGTCCAGAAATTGGGGGCTACTCCAATTCATTTTGATGGGTTGCATGACCTTGAGACAATAAAGAAGGTCGCATCAGAGCATGATGGCAAGTGACAATTGATGAGTCTTACGTTTATTTCATTCCTCTGTCCGCTGACAAATATTCGCTATTTACCAAGTGCAGTTGTCATTAGCTGTGCATCATCTCTTGATGAACCATCCTGCTTAGCTCTCATTGAGGGACTAGCGGATCGAAAATTGACCACTAAACAGGATGTGTTCTACATACATGCAAGTCCATTTAAAATACCTTCCAGGTCATCTACAACTAACCGTGGGTAGACATCTGGCACTTCCAATTTCGGAGACCACCCCATCACTCAGCCAGAACTAAGAAACACAAAAATTCGAACAGACAAAGACCCTAATTACGAATGGGAGAGAGACAACTCGGAAGCGTGGATCACCCGAAAGGTTGATGTTTCAATAACCGATGCGGGAGAACGCCTCGGCGTTGATACCGTCATCGTAAACCCGCCATTGATTTGTACGTCATCAAGTGCATATTCTCTACACATGCCAGCTAATCATGAACAGATGGCCAAGGAACTGGGCCAGGCAATCGAACATCAATCCAGATACCTGCATTGATTGGGGTCTCTCTCCATTATAAAGAGGCTATTGTGCTGGGAAACGGCGATGGTGTAAGTACCCTTCGCAATCAATATTTGTCTCTTACTCATAAGTTTTTGTTAAAAGTCGTTATTTCTTGAGTAATCGCTAATGCTCTCCTCTAGCTTTGGAATATCGCTCATATTTCTGATGTAGCTGACTTTTACTCTCTGATGCTAAAGAGATATATTGAAAGAAAGCCTGTTCAGCGTGGGAAAAGCGGCTATTACTTCCTAGAAAACGGCGAGACTTCATGGCTGGCGATTTCTAAACTCATTGGTGAGGTAGGGTATCTTAAGGGACTCTTGAACTCGAAGGAGCCAAAAGACATAAGCCCAGAAGAATTTACAAAGGCACTCGGCATATCTTTCTTGAACCCTTATATGGTCGAAGTTATCTGGAGCTCCAAGTGTGTTGAAACAGAGTCTTTCTTTTCTAAGATACAATAAAGCTAATGATGCATATAGTGCTCGTATTTCTGCTATCAAGAGCCGCGAAATAGGATGGCATCCTCGGAAGAACATTACGGATTTTTATCATTCTTTTGAAGCCGAGATTGAAGCGATTGCCCAAGTTGGGCCAAAGCATTAGCTATTACCGGCTTGGAATAAGAGAGATAGCATTGTGCAGGCATCGGGGATGCTGAAGAAGTCTACCATATATATCAATAATACTTGGCTTGCCATAGTAATATTTCCTGAACGCTACGAATCAGAGATCAACTACACTGAAAGTCGATATTTTTTGGACCAATCGAAAGTAACCGAGATCCGCAGGTGAATGATTTATTATTTGAAAGTTACTTGTAAATCGTATTGTATATATTAAATGTATATGTTGCAATAGCGATTTAGTCGACATAACACAAATGGCTTGAGGCTGTAGGAACAAAAGCACTCAGATTAACTCCATGTTCACTGTAAGCTGCGGGATTAAGCACCGATTATAGCGGAGAGATATAGTTTATCAGTGACTAGCGCCAAACCTTGAAGCATTAGTTTAGGGTGATACATCCACTAAATTTTGTCGCCGCCGCTATGCTATTGTTAACACGTACAAAGCTATGTACTCTTTGATCGATACTGATCCCCGGCCGCTAGACTTTCTTCTAGAGGCATTCAGCTTATCTGATCAAAAAGTTCTCCAACTTCTTATTGGCTTTATCTATGGAATAGCTGTTTTGTAATCACGGTCTTAATTTTCAGGATTGAGTGGGAGCGAGTGGCTAGAAGTCTGTTTTAACAGAGAGAAGGATTTCTTTCCTGTTGTATAAGGGGGTGCATTGTACCCTTGATAATCGCAATAAAAATAGTAATATAGACAGATTGGTGCCATCTTGTGTATAAGCTTAATATGATTCCAAAGACCATGTGTGGTTGTATAAGCTTTTGCATTATTATGTAAAGACTCGGAGTGCGTACGTAAAGATGCTAATCTGCTTATATTCCGCAGGGACGAATTTCCTGATCATATAATCACTGAACTATTACAAATGTAGATATTTACAATCTTAATTTGACTGTATCATGTTTAAAATATCTTGCTTATGCAAGGTTTCGGACTGCAGTTGTAGATACATTTCCCAGTTCACACAGCAGTATAATCTTGAAATAATTACGTGATAATTAGTCTTCTATAATGGTAAACTTCAGTAGATCGCTAACATCGTAGTTGCTTATGGTCGTTTACTGTAAGTTGCTGCAGAAATGATATTATTCTTCGTTGAGTTACTTTCTACTCCTGCTGCATATAAAAAGTAGCATGCTTCCCAAGATACATTGTCACACATCTCTGATCATTCTAAGTTTCTGTAAAAGACTGCTCCAGCAATTGTTTTAGACTAAAGATGGCTCTCACAGCACCGAATTCCTCAGACGAGATTCTCGAACGCAATTCGTTAGTCACTCTTCAAACTTGATTGAACTAAGGCGTGACAACACCAGAGCCGCTAACTATCGCCTTAGGAAGTATGCTGTCAACCATCCGGGATCCTACCACTATGTAGCTGAGAATTTTATAAATACAACCCGAACAATCATCGGTATGTCTCCTCGAATAAGACATATTCCACTACTGACATAGGCTTCACTAGTTACTTGCATGGACCAAAGAGTTGTTCCCGAGGAATTTTGTGGCCTTTCCACTGGCGGTAAATCCTCTCCTATACCGAATGAGCCTTTTCCTATTGAGGATGTTAATGTTGTGATGAAGAACTTCCGGTCATACGCTGTGCCGGAGGGAGGGCCAGATTTGCCATTAATGATGTCGTGGTTTTGAACACTCTCATTGGAATCAACGAAATAATACTTATCCACCATACGGGTAAGAAACTTAAGATAAAGTATGAGAGAAGCAAACGTCTGACGATGAACATAGACTGCGGCCTTACTCATAAGTCCACTGACTATGTTCGCGAAAAGATTGAAGGTATATCCGCCGTGGAGGCCCAAAAAATAGATTTGGAAGATTTAGGTATCAAAGAGTAAGTTGACTTTCCTGCAGGTGACAAATCGGTATAGTACTTACTATGGGACAACAGTTTCGAAGTGAGCTTAAATAATGATATATCCTGGCTTAGGAATCATCCGCTCATAAAAAAAGAAACCAAAATTACCGGTCTTCTCTATGATATTGACACCGGAAGATTGACAAAGATTGCTAGTCAATAGTGTGTGTAGGAGTCTTGGTCTAGCTAGATATAAAATAATCTCATTCAAACGCTTCTTTTTACCGACGTTATACAATTTCGCTATTGCGTCCTTAGGTCTCGTGAGCAAGAAAACATATTGTAAATGTCGAAACATGTCAATAGTCTGAATTAACTGTACGCAATTATCTTGAATTATTAATACACCTTTTGTAGGAATACCTAGACTAGATTGGCACATTTTCTGCAAGGTCTGAAACGGAAACGAGATACTTTTTCCACCAAGGGAAACCCGGCTTTTCCAACTTACTAGATCTGCAAAGCGTCTAAGCTCTTACAGGCCTGGCTGTAAAAGGCCCACAACGCGGGTAAATCTCTCTATTAGCTAAACAGCCCTACACGAACATTTAGACCGCTGCGGCATTTTCCCTTGTAGTATCCAAGAAACGGCTCCCGGTTATCTCCATCCTAGGCTTGATCAGGCCAATCCGCATATTCCAAGCAGTAAAGATACTATTGTACTCTAGACAAAAATTTGTAGATGCAGATAAATGTATGAATGTAGCCGCTTGCTCGGAGCCTGATCAAGGATAAACACGGCTTATAAGTCGAAATCTTGAACGCAAATTCTGTGGTCCACTCTTAGCCGAGTAACGACAATTTTGGTTGCCCTATCCACCCATTTCAAGTACCTGTATAGTTGAGTAATCGCAATAATACCACTGCACATTCCTAGTTAAGTACTCCGTACGGGTTAATAGAATTGGGTACTGGTACATTATTAATAATTACTTCCCAGCCACAAGACCGCTACTCCTTATTTGTGTATTACCAATCGCGAATACCTTTCCGGGATAAAGTTGCGAAAGTCCTCGTTGATTCAACTCGGAGATTGAAATTACCTGAAGAAATTCTTTTCTGTTTCCTAGTGGTTTTATCTTTAATTTTCTCATATTATCAACATCACATGCCTTACAATACGCGTAAGTGGCCATCGAAAAGCTCGGTAAACAATGGGCACCAGAAAACGTCTTCAAAGATTGGGATACAACAGAGAAAGATGGTAGGTCTGCATTTCTTCCTTTTCAGGAGAATTGTATCGCACCTACTAGCTAGTATGAGATTTTCACAATTAGATCCACCGCGCTGATGCACTCATGCCGTATAGGATCGCCGCGAACAGAACCGTAAAGCGCAACAAAGATTCCGTCAACGGCGAAAAGTGGTAGATGTTCAACAAGAAAAGCGGATAGAAATACTTGAAGATGCACTTGATGAAACCTTGTCCCTATACATTAGCTTGTCTGATGTAATAGTTGGCCTCGATGTCTTCTCCACACAGCATCCGCAAGTATTGAGAGACCTTCAGCGTTCCACGACACGAATCCTGGAGATAGCGAAGAGAGTGGACGGTTTCCAACAAGTATCCATGAACTATTCTGCTAAGCCACCTAATGAAGCAGAAGAAACAGAGCTGCGCACTCCAACCTCTGAAATTGCCTCAAGAGAGCTACTATCGTCGCTTTCGAGCAACGGGCAATCAGATCCAGAAAGTTTCACTAAGATCAAGGTCGATCCACTGCCCAATGCATCCATACTGCAAACGGTTGGTCTTGTTGAGACTGGTGGCATTAGGCACTGGAGCATGAGCGATTGGTGGTTGCCAACTCCGACCAGAGGAATTTTGGAGTTACAATCCCAGCCCCAGTATCAACCGCCATCGCTACAGTGTGAGCAGCTCATGCGAAAGTTGAACTGCTTTGCGTCCAAGGTAGTTCAGGCCACTTTATCTCAAGCGTACTCTGTTCTCTTTGCCTCGGAGTGGGTACTTTCTGAAGATGTGTATCGTATTTTTGGATCAACGCTCCGTATACGATCTCGCGAAAAGATTTTGTGTGATTTAGGATGGCTCTTGGGCCCTGGAAAAACATCCCTGCCACACGCATCAGGCTTCCTCTGGAAACATGCAGGCAAAAATGACATGCCTCGGCCATGGGCAGGCTCCTCGCTACTTGATGAAATTTGCCTCGAAGTCGAATCTGATGCCGAACTCACTCATCAGCCCTCTGTCTATCAGCCTCGACTCCTGACTGTTTTGGGTGTTGTGCAAGAACTTGCCAGGCTAGAAGCGAGAATCGTGGATAACGACACGATGGAGATTACCTTGAGCGAACAGCGTCCTTTACAATCTGTGCAATCAAGTATCCCACTTGACGGCGCAGTAGACGATCCGTATATGCCAATTTCAGATAGCGACCATTCCACGGATGTCTCAAAAGAGGTTCTGAAGCTGAGACTCAGTATACCACGCTTGACTAGAAATTTGGCGCTCGCTGGAACATGCGCCAAGACTGGGCCTGTTTATGCTAGAAACGATATAGCTAAGGCCGTAGAGGCAGCAATAATTATAGTAGGCAGTGATTTATAATATAGCTTAGTTTGAGGACGAGCACGCTCTTGTTAGTTATAAAAATACAAATTATTAGTTATGTTATACTTACTACAAACATAGATTGGTAGCATAAGGAAGCCCGAAAAGCCATAGCCAAGAGATAGCGGTTAACAGCCTTCGCTTGGAGTACAAGTTCAAAAGCTCGGATAACCTGAATATCCCCTTTTCATTCTATAAAGCAGTCAATATCAATAAAAGCGCTGTTACAATCTCTGTAGAGGCTGCCGAGCAGCTTCTTGTAACCCCTTGACCATTTATATAGCTGAAAGCGTGGCTAAATATTTGGCAGATCCGCAGCTGAGGACTTTTTTAAGGACACAGCACTGATATTTGTTTGTGTATTCAGCTGTCTATAGCAGGCCGGTGTTGTATGCCTGTACACCCAATAACAAGAACCTTGGTAATAGTTATTATATTCACTTAAAGTTCATAAAACACAATTATAAGCTAGTAACTATTGTATTTTTTCTAAAGCTAATCTAACACAGTATACATACATGTGTATATAAGCTTTATGACAAAAAACTGCACAATACTCATAGAATCGGGTTGCGAATTATATATTATTGAAGAGTGCGGCAAGTTGGGTTTACCGAGGTAATATACTTTATCTTGCTAAGATCTGCTTCTCCGCGCCAAGCTGCTTAGCGCTTGAGGACATACAGGTGATTATTATTCTGCAGGATATTATTATCAAGGTTTATGCTTCTTGAATCCTTTTTTTAAGGTTACTTGGGTACTCCTCGTTTTCCTATTTTATAGGCTTATAATAACGTCGAGAAGCATTTGTTATATCAAAGTCGTTGACTTATAATTTATGATTACTACTTCAAATACCGAGGTCATTGTGGAGTCCTTTGCTGTAAAATAGCTGCTGTTGGGAGAGCTACGGAGAGTATTTGCTATTAACTAGTAGGAATATGCTGTTCGGAATGCTTCCGAGTCGCCAAATCCCCGCTCTACGCATCCGACGAGAAACAATTTGGGGAATTGATGGAAACGCGTTTAGTAATTATTAATGAGCGTCAAAGAGCCACTCGAGGCTTGCCACACTAGAGGCCGTCTACTAGGTCTGTATTACGAGTGCTTGCAAATCGTTTGTCGAGATTAGAGAACCTACTACTATTATAAATAGAAGCAGAATGAGGATTTAAAAGAGCCTTTGGCAGATTCAGATCCACTCGCATTATCCCATCTATATGACTGACACTGCTTATCGGTTCCAAAACAACCATGTTCATATATTGAAGAACACATATCACTTCGATGCCCTCTATTTACCAAGCTTGGGGCGAGGTTTTGGGCAGAGGTTTTGGGCAGTCAGTTCTTGCGCGCGAGAAGTTACAGAGAGGTTATCTCGCACTTACGAAAGTCTCTCAGAATGCAAGAGAAGAAACAAAAACCCCATCTCTATGCTCATAAAGAGCTGGACAGGCGTATGTTGCCAGAGTAAGAAGCAGCTTTAGTGCCATATTTAGAACACGTTCCTGTGCCCTAAACATGCAAAGTATACAAGCTGACATGAATGTATGAAGACGAACCAAGGCGACATTTAATATGCGCATGATTGACTAAGGGAAAAGCCCATGAGAGCATGAGAGACTAGGCGCTCTCGCGTGCTCGCTCTCTCGCGGGCTCGGAGAAAAAGAGTGTGCAAGCCATGATGGCAACGCCGGAATCGGAACGACAAGCGCCAACACTTGAGGTGTTCTTTTTGAGCATTACACTTCAATAGCTTTCTTAGAAACAGGCGGAATCTCCATGGAAGCTCATTGATCAAGCAGTTTGAACACAATGGCTGCAATTGACTCGAGGCTACATGGGTTGACGATACAATTTCTTCAAGTCCAAGCTTGCTTACCAACCCCACAACCCTATACTTGGCTTTTCAAGGTGAGAGGACCACAAGATACAGAACATGTATATCTTGACCGGTGTTAGGTAAGAGTTGCAAGCTGTTAGTGCAGCAACAGCTGGCTCACTTCAAGCAACTAACTAATCTATCATTCCCCGCCGTCGGATGTTAGAGTCGGAACAGACGGGAGGTTGCGGAGCCTAGTTGAAGTTAGTCAGTCCCGAAATGCGCGTACGCGGGGAGCAAACCGGACGGCACTCAGTCGTTTTCTGGGGAACCGGGGTCGGGCGAAGAGCTACTTGAATAGCTGGTGGGCAGTGAGCAGTCCAGTCCAGTCCAATCCACGTCATGGGGCGCCCTTTTTCTCTATCCACACACTGCTTCTCGTCTATCGGCGACCGACTATAACGTGTTTCTTATCTTTGTCTCTTGTGTTTCTAATCGCCGCGCTGCTGCTGGTTTCGCGCTGATAGCTCGACACAATGCCGCGACGACGCGCCAGCAAGGCTTGTCTTCACTGCCGCCAGCGAAAAGTGCGCTGCGATGTGACGCTGCGAGGGGTTCCCTGCTTGAACTGCCAGCTGGACCACCAGACATGCGCAATCCAGGAGCGCAAATCCAAACGGTAGGCGACTGCAGCAATGCGCAGTTTTCTGCATCAGACTGACTGTGGGCGGCCAAAGACCGCTGTCAGATTCGAAAATCGCGGCCTACCGTGAAGGCGGCTCGGTGATTGAAGGCCTATCGACGAGGCTCGCAGACGAGACGCCCTCGGGCATCGACAGCATAGATCAATGGGCCAAGCGACTAAACGGAGTGCCCCCGTTTGGCAAAGGATCATCAACAAGCCCTCACAGCGACGAACGATCGAACGAAAGTAACTACATCGACCTCGAGGGATTCTCGCCCAAGACCGCCTCGGCAATCGCGAATGTACACAACGGCAAGACGAAACAAGGTCGATATGGATCAGGTTCATCGAGAGCGCCGGCCAATGGCACCGGATACAACAGCTACGACACGCTGCCCTTTATCGCAACCCCTGATCTGGGCCATCTCTCAGCTCTGGATGTTCGGTTTATGCAGCTAAATGGGTGTTTTGAGCTCCCCCCTATGCCGATTCTCAACGAACTAGTTCGGATGTATTTCCTCCATACACATCCTCTTGTACCGCTTCTTGATGAGGGTGATTTCTGGGATTCCTTTTCATGTTCTAATGGAGAAAAGATCCCCTTGCTTCTGTTTCAAGCGATGGTATTCGCTGCGTGTGCTGTGAGCCTCAAGTCCCACATATGCTTCGTGTCATGTTGATGCTGTAGTCTTTCTGACAAATACGCCCAATAGTTCATTCCAGAAGCTGTTGCAGAAGCAGCAGGCTTCCCCTACCCGAGGGCAGCCGCAGAGGCCTTTTACAAGAAGACCAAGGTCTGAAGCCTATTCCAAGCACGTCGCTGCAATGAACACTGCTAAATGCGCAGTTTATCCTTCGTACAGATCCTATACGACTTTGAAATAGAGTCAAATCCCATTGCCCTCGGCCAAGTGGCGATACTGCTCACATTCTGGCCCGGCGGACTACGGCTAGGCCTTACGAAAGCAAATTCAGAATGGCTGAGCACAGCCATTCGACACGCGAAATCCCTCCGAGCACATCACCTGTCGTCGAAGCATGCCAGCCAGCACACGCAAAATATCCCCCCCAAAACACGGATATTGCTTCGGCGACTGTGGTGGTGCTGCTACTTCCGCGACCGCTCCCTCGCACTGGCTCTTCATCGAACGATGCGGATCCCTGGCAAGTATCCATTGCTGACTATGGAGGATTTTGAAAACGAAATCCACCGCTCTCGCGTGTATAACGCTGAAGCAAAGCGACGTTTCTTCGACATCTTCAATCAGATAGCTAAGCTGGTCGTCATCATGACAGACGTGCTCCGGCTATGCTCGATTTCAGAAGACGGAATAGATAGCGAGACGACCAAGACGGATCACCATGCGATGGCGAATTGCATGGCTCAGCTGCAAGCATGGCATGATGAAACCAGGCTGCAGTTCCCAGACAATGGAGATCGGCCAGGGGTCCAGCCACATTTTGTCATCATACAGACTAACTTGATGTTTATATACTACTTGTAAGTCCCAATGTCACCTACCCATCAGAAAGAGATGCTGGCATATAGCACTACAACATTCTGCATATGCGGTAATGCAGCAAACATGAAGACAGCGCTGACAAGGTGCTGATTCAGCGCGGCGAAATTGGCCATCCACCATCAAGAGATTTTCTATGCCGTTCGCGACTCCGACAACGCAAATGGCGAAGGGCCGTATCCCTTGCTTGCCGGCAAAAGCGACCAAGTTCGTGATGCCGTCGACAACCTCATCAAGCACCTGTCCAACCCTGTGCAGCTTGGATTGGCGCAATATCTGCCCGTCAGCGTGTAAGATTGACCTATTTCTGCTACCACTCACCATTCTAATCCCTGCCCGTGAGCATGAAAGCTGTATGCTAACTCGTTCTGGATGTCAAAGCGTTGCATTTGTTGCCATGCCCCTCCTCGTACAGATCCTCAACGCAAAGATCTTGTCCCGCGGCGTTGTCAGCTCGCGTGCGGCAATGCACCAGGAGCAGCTGCATGGCCTAATCAATCTAGTCAAGCAGTGCCACCGACGGCTTGGTGGAGTCGACGCCATGTGTGTAATTATTCGACGACTAACAGACGCGGCTCAATCCCGATTCATGACTGGAAAGGCATCTCAGGTCACTGAGTTCATCGAGCTGATTGACTACAGCCCGCTTGAATACCTGAGATTCTTCCTGAACCTGGATTTGAACCTCAGCAATGCGACGTTGGTAGAGAATATCCGGTTCTCAGAGCTGAAGGAGGAATTAGCCCAATCCAAAAAGACTCCGTCAGAAAGCGAGCGCCATACGCCGGTTCCGGATGCAGAACAGGCCCTGTCATCCACGCAGCCAACAGAGCCAGCCCTTCTACCCACAACTACACCTATACAGCAAGATGCATGGGGCCTGAATTTCCCGGGGGCCAAAACGGACCCTTTTGCACTGGGCGACTCTCCTTTAGACTTTGACGAGCTGCTAAGCGGGCAGGGCATGCTGGGTATCGACCCTTCTTTGATTGACTTGGAAACGCTAGGAAACCCGTTCATGAACCAACGTATGGAATGGGAGATGGATGCCTGGCTGCTGGGAGGATCCTAGAGGCCACAGCCACTATAGCTGTTCGTAAGACATGTGAAAATATTTTCGAGGGCGGTGGATAAGTGTCATTTCAATGAGGAATATCCCAGGAAACTTCGAAAAGGAGGGAAAAACGATTTAGCATGGCGCTAGGGGGGCGGTTATTGATTGTGTCTATTCCTAGGTAGTTTATGCGTTGCTTGCCGTAGCACGAGATGGCTCACGGCCCAACAGACAGAGAAACCTGAACTTGGCTTTGTGCCGAGCTCCCTGATAATATCCAAAAGCAACAAACAAACAAAAACGCCTCCTTCACCGTCACACAGCAAGCTAAAAGTGAAAAAAATGCGCCGTTGAACGCCCACGAATCATGCCATCCGTGAATGATGGGGTGATGCATTTAGCCGGGGCTTTCACCGAGTGTCCAGTAACCAAAACGTGGATTTTTCCAATGCCAAGGTTACGGCTCGAGGCATCCCATCCCGGATGAGTAGCCCGGAGCAGATGACTCTGAGAGCATATTAGCGGCTGATCCCGTATTGGGCGCCACAAAGGACACAAGGACACGCCCCCCCATACTTTCCGGTTAATATAGCCGCCTCGTGGATTAGTGGGAGTGGGCATCACTAAATCCATGAGTCGACAAGGCTTCCCCATTCGCGGGTGTGGGTTTGTGGGGTAATATTGCCGGAACTGGGGAATCTCATTCGCCTTGCCAGACAGCTCCAACTCCACTGTCTTGGGGAAATGGGAATCGCGATCCAGCAGAAACGCGGAGGGCGTGTAAGCCGGTAAGTTGCAACCCAGCTGTTGGTCCAATACGTGTACTTGGGGTGGTAGTTGCTACCGTGCCATGAGGAACTACTCTGCAGTAGTGACATTGCTTGCTGAATGTACTCCAACTTGATACGGGCTGCTGCAGATGGGCTACATGTACATGCTCCGCTGGTCTAGTGGTAGCCCAGACATGCCATTTATCCTCCCGCTGGAGATTCAGCTTCATTACCCACTACATCGTCATGTTAATATTAGAATTGGGAAAAAGCCTAGTCTAGTATTATTAGCTACTACCAGGTACCAGTAGCAGCATTTTGACGTCTGCTCAGCCAGCCTTACCTCTCATCCTCCTCCAGACAGCCTGGCCGAAGCGGGCTGAATACTCCGGGAAAAAAACTCTGGTCATCTTCTGATCTGGGGAAACACGCCGCATAGGGTCGCCACGGGTGCTATAGTCGGACCGTTAACACTTTTCCTCGCCGCTCTTTGTTCCTTTAGGACGAGAGCCCCTGTCAGTCTGTTAGTCGGGTCGATATTGGTGAGCCACTCGTGAGCTACGGGATATTTCAAGGCTGCGGCTATTTAGGCTAAATGCCCAGAGCGCTCCTTGCCGTAGCGCCGAGAGCACCACGCGCTTTGGGTGAATATCGCATTGAGTCTTCGAGATGACCCTGTCCGTCGGGTACATGGAGACAAGAGCTCGAAAAGACAAATCATTTATAAAGTAGTAATGGCCCTCTGCTCTCCAGGGTCGTATTGCAGGATGTAACAGGGCTCAATCCGGACTCTGCCTTTTTTTCTTCTCCTCCTCCTCCTCCTCCTCTTCCTCTTTCTTCTTTCCATCATCTACTCTTTTCTTTTTTCTCTTTCAATATCCTTGGATCTTATCTTGCTTTGCAATAAGTAAAGAAAGGAAACAAGGAAACACATCCTCACAATGGGCGTCCAAGGCGACGGAGGCGCTGCCATCTACAATGCAGCGTTGAATCGCCGCCAGGCCCTCATGGGCAACAGCGGAGCTCGCGCTCTTGTCAAGAACTTTCGCGTCTTCAGCTTGGCTGCCTTTGCCTGTATCGGCGGTGTGCTGTATGGTTACAACCAGGGCATGTTTTCTGGTGTTCTTGCCATGCCATCTTTCAAACAGCGTAAGTGGCGTTTACTGCTTCATCCGTGAACTTATAGCATAGTATCAAGTTGGAATAGTTGACTGACATTACATACTGATTAGACATGGGAGCGTACGATCCTCTCGACCCCAATGCTAGCCAGACCAAGAAGGGTTGGTTGACAGCCATCCTGGAACTCGGTGCCTGGTTCGGCACCCTGTTCTCTGGTTTCATGGCTGAGGCTATCTCCCGTAAATACGGCATCATCGTTGCCTGCTGCATCTTCATCATCGGTGTCGTCATCCAGGCATCCTCCATCCAAGCCGGATACCAAGCCATTCTAGGAGGTCGATTCATCACGTACGTCTTCATTCGAGTTTACAATGGATCTTGCTTTTATACTAACTTTGCAACACAGCGGTATGGGAGTTGGAAGCTTGTCCATGATTGTGCCAATCTACAACTCCGAAGTAGCTCCTCCGTAAGTTCTGATACCCACTTGCCAAAATTGTAGATACGAAATAGCTGACAACTCGCCAAGTGAGGTTCGAGGTGCTCTTGTTGCCCTCCAACAGCTCGCCATCTGCTTCGGAATCATGGTTTCTTTCTGGATTGATTAGTATGTCCTTGGCAACGAAATATGAAAACTCTACATCTACGGACGGTACTAACCTATCTTAGTGGCACCAACTACATCGGCGGTACTCATCTTGGCGAACAAAGCGACGCATCTTGGCTCGTGCCCGTGTGCCTCCAGATCTTCCCCTGCCTATGTCTCCTGGTCGGCATGCTCTTTATGCCATTCTCTCCCCGTTGGTTGGTTCACCACGACCGCGAAGGCGAGGCCAGACAGATTCTCTCGACTCTCCGAGGTCTTCCCCTTGACCACGAGCTGATTGAACTCGAATTCTTGGAAATCAAGGCTCAGTCTCTGTTTGAAAAGCGAAGCATCGCCGAGCAGTTTCCTCAGCTCCGTGAACAAACCGTGTGGAACAACTTCAAGCTTCAATTTGTTGCCATCAAGTCTCTCTTCACCTCGAGGAGCATGCTGAAGCGCAGCGCCATTGCCAGTATCACCATGTTTTTCCAGCAGGTAAGACTAATGAACCGTCCTACACTCTAACGGAGGAATACTAACACTCTTGGAAAGTGGACAGGAATCAACGCCGTGCTTTACTACGCCCCGACCATCTTCCAGGATCTCGGACAAACCGACAACACCGTTTCTCTGCTTGCCACCGGCGTGGTTGGCATCGTCATGTTCGTTGCCACTGTCCCAGCCGTGCTGTGGGTCGACCGAATCGGACGCAAGCCCGTGCTGATTACCGGTGCCATTGGTATGGCTACGTGCCACATCATCATCGCCATTCTCTTTGCCAAGAACTCCCATGACTGGCCGCACCACCAGGCTGCCGGTTGGGCCGCCATTGCCATGGTCTGGCTCTTTGTCGTTCACTTCGGCTACAGTTGGGGACCTTGTGCCTGGATCATCATCGCCGAGATCTGGCCATTGAGCACTCGACCATATGGTGTCTCGTTGGGCGCATCTAGCAACTGGATGAACAACTTTATGTAAGTCTACATCTACATCCAGCTATCGAAAGTCCCTTTCAGCCTCTAATGATCTAATCTTTCACAGCATCGGTCAAGTCACCCCTGATATGTTGCAAGGCATCACGTATGGCACTTATATCCTCTTCGGAGTCCTCACGTACCTCGGTGCTGCGTTCATCTACTTCTTTGTTCCCGAGACCAAGCGTCTGACCTTGGAAGAGATGGTAAGATATCTCATCGCGTCCAAATCGACAAAAGCCACGATACTGACTGTTACTATAGGACATCATCTTTGGCAGCGAAGGTACCGCGCGTGCAGACTTTGAGCGCATGGAGGAGATCAACAACGAAATTGGCCTCAACGCAATCCTTTACAGCCAGCATCCTGATGAGGTGGTGACGGTGGAGGCTGAGAAGTCCTAGAGTGCTGGGCATATACAAGTTTCTTGGGGAGGAAGATTGGTAGTAGCTAAATGCAGAGTGATTTGTGCATCAAATTGTAATGCTGCATGTGTTGATCTCAGCTGCGGAAACTTATTAGCAATGCTTAATGACTTGCGAATTAATAACAAGATATCCCATAATCTTAGCATACATCTTATGTGCGAGTAAACAGGTTTATTTTCCCTGTGTTTCGTCAAAGTCAATAGTAATAGCTGCGGCAGTAAATGAGGGGCTTGGTATGCTCCAGTCCAGTGATGGTAATCAGAATCAGATGAGGCCCGTGATATATAGCTGGCCACAGCCATTTCAACTCTTGGGCACAAACTAAACTAGGAACGGCTGCTAATTATCATATGGAGCTCAAGATCGCGAAGAGTTTAACTGTCTTTGGTAACCTGATGGAATAGTCACTGGTAGCACTTCTCCACCATCTTCTTCGCACCGAAGAGGGGAAGACCCCACTCTCCACGATTCTCCCCCGTAATACTCCATCGATAGGCTTTGGTCGTTTTGTATGTGAAGACGCAGATTATAGAAGTGGAATTGCTCCGTGTATTGTTCAATGTGAATCAAGTCTTTATGAGAGGTATAGTTGCCAGTTGCTGCATCGGATTGCCATGTAAAATCCCCTAAGAGCTTCCCTTATCAATGCAGAAATGCGGAATTGCAGGGTAACACAAGCAGTATAATCACTAGTGATAAGCTTCCGGTGGCTTCGGCTTGTCTGTCACAAGTCCACTGCTCTAAGATGGCTTCAACTAGCGTATATCCAGATGCTGATAGCATTTAGTGGCGACTGCGGTTCCCCGCGGCGTGCGGCCTAGCTAAGGGTAGTTTGTCTTACAAGTGACGAATGTGATTACATCAATGTCTCGTTAGCTAGTGAAGGGTATATATATGGCTTGTGCTGCTTCTCCGATATGAGATTCGTTCTCTCTAGTAACAACATATCGTCCTAAATAAAATGACTGCCTCCGTGAAGATTTCTTTGCCCAATGGGCTCAACTACGACCAACCCACTGGCCTTTTCATTGACAACAAGTTCGTCGCCGGCAATGGCGAAAAGTTTACCGTTTATAACCCAGCGTAAGGCACTTCAACATACTTCCAGGCCGACTGTGCTTTATTTGAACAGTGCCACCTGACATACCCACTCATCAGAACTGAAGAAGAAATCATCACTCTGCAAGGCGCGTCAGAGGCCGACATAGATAAAGCTGTTGCCGCTGCTCGCCGCGCTTTCGAGGGAGAATGGTCGGAGCTTGAAACGAAAGATCGCGGCGCCCTCATCTATAAACTTGCCGAATTGATTGAGAGAGATAGAAAGCTACTGGCAAGCATTGATTCCTTCGATAACGGCAAGTCTTTCGCCGACGCATATGGACTGGACCTGCTTGAGAGCTACAATGTTTTCCGATACTACGCCGGCACCGCCGACAAGATCATGGGCAAGACGATCGAGACGGGGCCCAAGAAGCTGGCTTATGTGTTACAAGAGCCTCTCGGAGTCTGTGGCCAGATTATCCCTTGGTATGTTTACTTGAGAGCAAGCAATTAATAGTTGTTATATCACAACTAACCGAGGGCCAGGAATTATCCCTTCATGATGCTCGCATGGAAGATTGCGCCGGCTCTAGCATGCGGAAATACTGTAGTGCTGAAACCTGCAGAACAAACACCTCTCTCAGCTCTATACTTTGGCAACCTCGTCGCCGAAGCTGGCTTCCCCCCTGGTGTCGTTAACATTGTCCCCGGCCTTGGAGGTGTAGCCGGCAAAGCTCTCGCGAGCCACATGGACGTTGACAAGATTGCCTTCACTGGAAGCACCGCCACCGGAAAGGCGATTATGAAGTCGGCCGCAAGTAATTTGAAAAACATTACTCTAGAATGCGGCGGCAAGAGTCCTTGTATTATTTTCGATGATGCAGATCTCGATCAGGCCGTGAAATGGAGTCATGGCGGTATCATGGACAACATGGGTCAAGTAAGACTACAGGAAAAAGCTTCGTCTCAATCCCAAGCGTCGTCATATAATTAACCTTATTCTTAGGTGTGCACATCAACATCTCGAATCTGCGTACAAGATACCATCTACGACAAGTTCCTCGAAAAGTTTACCGAGAGAACCAAGGAGCTCGCATCAAAGATTGGCGATCCTTTCCACGAAGACACTTACCAAGGCCCTCAAGTATCCAAAGCGCAATTCGACAGAGTTTTGGGCTACATCGAGGAGGGCAAGAAGTCTGGCGCCCGACTACTCCATGGCGGTGCTAAGCACGGCGACAAGGGCTACTTTATCCAGCCCACCATTTTTGCAGACGTATGAACCGCCGCTCTCGCCTTATTAACAATGCATTGTGAAGATCACTAACTCGAGAACTATAGACTACGGAAGACATGAAAATCGTCAAAGAGGAGATCTTTGGCCCCGTCGTTGCCATTTCCAAGTTCAGCACCGAAGCAGAAGCCATCGCCAAGGCAAATGACACCTCATACGGATTGGCCGCCGCAGTTTTCACGCAAAGGGTGGCTAGAGCACACAAAGTTGCTCGCAAGCTTCAAGCCGGCATGGTTTTCATAAACTCGTCTGGCGATTCACATTTTGGCATTCCGTTCGGCGGCTACAAGTCGTCCGGCATCGGTAGAGAGCTTGGCCAGTACGCCCTGGATGCCTATACGCAATCCAAGACAGTCCATGTAAATCTGGGCACCGAGCTGTAATTAAACCTTTTTGGTAGAGAAAGACTTGACAAGAAGAATAAAAGTTTGTTGATTCTTTTCATTTGAGATGCTATTCAGTAAGAATGATATATTACAAATGCGAGGACCCGTCTACAGAGCCAACTTACGCTCCTACCCGTATCTACCCGATCTCCAGCTAATCAACGATTTAATTTACGCCCTAGAAATGCATCTCAAACATACGAGAGCGTAGCCACGTGATGGATTCGGCGTCCGGTGATAGCAGGCCGTCTTAGCTTATCGACCTTTGAGCCACGACCCCTCATTTACCGTGATACCATGAGGGGTAGCGGAGAATATATGGTAATAGCGCTGCTCTCTTTAGATACCACTTCTAGCGCTCCTTTTAGATTCCGTTTCAGGCCAAACCTTCCCCAGACTCCGGATTCTGGTTGCCTCCATTGGGCAGCGTCAAGGGCGATAGTCTATAAGTGGAACTCGCGGACCCCGTTATAAGCCGGCCTCAGCCTCCGATCTCAACTTGTTATCTTTCCTCTCACATTGACAAATCCATCCATTCATCCACAATAGACTTTCTCATTCCGGAGGTACAAAAAAAGAAAGAAACAATGGGTGACGCTCAAAACCTTCAGTCATGGGAAGTCAAGGCTTCTTCAGCCAGAGAAAGACGCGATGCCGGCCTGGCCAAAGTTGAGCCCAAGCTAGAGGGCATCCCTGATCAACTACCCCTCAGCTCGCAAGATCTGCCAAAAGGGGTGTTGACAGCCCGGGAAATCGAAATCACGGAGAAATACTCTGTTACCGAATTGTTGAAGATTCTTCGTGAAAGGAAAATCTCCGTCGAGGAAGTAACGCGGGCATTCTTGCGCAGAGCGGCGGTGGCCCAGGTTGCTGTACGTGCCATTTACCATCATGCAATCTCTTCATATATCACTGTTGGGCATGAATCGATCCTAACAAAGCTAGGTCAACTGTCTTACTGAGCTGCTATGGGATCAAGCGATTGCTCGTGCAAAGCACCTTGATTCCTTGCCAGAACCCAAAGGCACCTTTTTCGGTCTTCCCATCTCAACAAAGGAGCATCATGGCATGGTTGGCGACAACGTGACCACCAACGCCTCCTATATCGGCTGGGTTGGCGATAAACACGGTTCAAATCTTCTCTACGACATCTTGTATAGTGAAGGATGCGTCTTCTACGCCAGAACCACTCAGCCTCAAACGATCATGCACTTGGAGACGAGCAGCAATGTGTATGGAGTTACCGTTAACCCATACAACCGTACTTTGACTCCAGGAGGAAGCTCCGGAGGTGAATCTGCTCTCGTTGGTATGCGCGGCAGCCTGTTGGTCAGTCAAATACATACCGTTTCTGCGTCTTCTGATCAAGTACTGAGTCGAGCAGGGTGTTGGCGGTGATATTGGAGGCAGCGTTCGATGTCCATGCGCCCATGTCGGTATATATGGCTTCAAGTGAGTGGATCTGCTCCTATTTCATAGCTTTCAGTATCACTGACACGTTTTACAGGCCAAGCTCTAAACGCATTTCTGTCTTTGGACAGAGGGCCAATATGGCCGGCAAGGAAACGATTCTCTCTACTCCCGGGCCCATGACGGTAGAGCGTGACGTACTAGAATTGTTCATGAAAACCGCCATTGCTGCTGAGCCATGGCGCCACGACCCATCTCTTACCGTCAAGGAGTGGAAGCCATATCACTTCACAAAGCCGCTCAAGATTGCCGTCCAGTGGTGGGATGGCGTTGTGAAGCCGCATCCTCCCATGCTACGCGCACTAAAAGAAGTTGCCGACGCGTGTCGAAAGGCTGGTCACGAGGTTGTCGACTGGAACTGCGAATCACTTGGCCATGATGAAGCCTGGGACATCATCTCGGGACTCTATTGGCCCGACGGCGGCAAAGAGGTTCTCAGTTTGATCAAGGGAGCTGGAGAGTCGGTCTTGCCATTGACCAAATTCATTATCGAGGAGCAGCCAAATGTCAAGGACAGGACAGTGGCTGAGCTTTGGGAGGTGAGTTCTTCAAGGCCTCTGAATCCACCACTATCAAGCATACTGACATAATTTCTTCTGCTTAGTTGACCGCTCAACGAGATGCCTACCGCGCAAGATATGCCAAAGCCTGGACAGCCACCGCAGCCAACGGCGAGAGAGAAGTCGACGTCATTCTGTGCCCTCCTTCATTTGGAGCTGCTGCTCCTCTCGAGCAGTCGCGGTACTGGGGCTACACTTCGCAATGGAACCTCCTGGACTACCCGGCCGTTGTCTTCCCCGTCACCACCGTCGACCAGGTCAAGGATGTCAAGGATACAAGCTACGTACCCAAAAATGAGCAAGATCGATTCGTGTATGATATGTACAGCCCGGAGAAGTACGTCAATGCACCAGTGAGCCTGCAGATTGTTGGCAGGCGACAGTACGATGAAAAGGTTCTCGCCGCACTGGTAGAAGTTGAGCGTGCTATGGGAAGACCTTGAACCACTAGTATCTAATACATATTTATAAGTTTCGGGTTGGCGGAGTTTGGTAGACTTAGAATCAACTAGCATGCGAAATATTATTTGTTGGTCTCTATGAAGCGTCTATTTATACAATTCGGCCTGCCTCTCGAGAACAACAGGATGCCTCACAGAACCTGGCTTCAGCTCGGCAAAGTTCAAGTTAATGCCTTCCTCCACCTCAGGATACGGGCCCAAAGGAGTTATTGCTAGTGGGTTGATTTTCGTGTGACTCTTGGTATACTTGTCCAATGTTAGATCAGATATGCTCACGGCTTGGATATGTGATTCTTGAAGTATTGACTCACGTTTTCCTTGATGTGCTTGAAATCAGTCGTCTCTTTGAACCCCTTTACATTCCAATACAGATTCTTGAGCCACTCGTGGATGACTGGATAATTTGCGCGAATTGTTCCCAGGTTGCATTTGAAGTGCTGAACGTAGACAGCGTCAAATCGTATAATGGTCGTGTACGCACGGATATCAAGTTCTGTGAGATGACTGCCCAGAATGTACGGGCCACCGTTGCGATGAATGAGACTTTCTAGATGGTTCAGCGCGGCAAAAACGACAGGCACATTCTTGTCATAGGCCTCTTGTGTCTCTGCAAATCCGGCTTTGTAAACTCCAGAATTGAGATCTCTCTGCATCCATTCGGAAATTTCATCGATCTGGCTTCTCAATTGCGCTGGGTAGAGATCTAGTTCGTATTTTTGTCCCTCTTTGGGCAGTACGTCTTCAAAGGCGGTTGGCAGCCAACGCAGTAACTCGGCGCTTTCGTTGTTCACAATGGTTCCCTCTTTGGTGTCCCACAGCACAGGAACGCTGTATTTGGTTCCTTCGTAGCCCGAATCGGCTTTAAAGTAGAGCTCATGAAGATCCTTGGATCCGAATAACTTGTCCACAGTCGCTCCCGCGTATTCGTCATTTGAGGTAGGGAATCGCCAGCCTGCCCGGCCACCATTGCCTTTGGGATATGGCATCACAACTGAGACATCGATGAGAGATTCCAGCCCTTTGAGATATCGTACAAGGAGCACGCGATGCGCAAATGGACAGAAGAGGCCGACGTAGAGATGGTAGCGGCCCGCTTCGGGTGGGAATTGGCTCTCGGGTTTGATGACTCCATGCCAGGAGTCTGTTGGGCTGGCATGTACGACAGCCATATTGAGTATAGGATATCAAACAAGCTGTAGTGATAATTTCGCCTCGGAGTGAGAACAGTCTGAGAATACAAAGATTCTGTTAGTTTGAGAGATTGGTATCCGATGGTTTTATTAATCTTTCGGAACTAGGCCCCGCACCGTATGACCGATTCGCGGGGTTGTTTGACGCCAGAGGCAGTTTTGCTGACGGTCGATGCGGGATAAATCACAGACATCTCCAGTGATTTACTGTTACATTGAAGGATGACGAGAAAAAGATTTCATGCCGTTTTGGCGAAAAGGCTTGTCATTGCATATCTCGGTCGGCTCTGTGTATCTGACAAACAATATTCTCAGACTTCGCTTACAGTCAATAACCATCATTTACTAAAGCTCAAGTGAGAGACAACGAAAAGATAATTAGAACCTTTTGAACAAATATTTCAATTGATATGTAAAACAGCTCTCAAGAGCTCCGGTCGAAATCACCAACTCCCTTTTTCATTTTCCCTCCATCTCCTTTATTCGGGTATTTTGCCTAACCTTAACCATCAAATGCAATCATCAAAATTCATATCCTCTCATGACTTGGGCGGGTTCTCCACGTTCTCTTCCACCACAACAACGCCGCTCTGTTCGTGTTCTGTTGACACTTCATCAACCTGCTTGCTCTTCACATCTGCCAGACCATAGATGATGATGCTGATGATACCGCAGATGGCAGAGAGAATGGAAAAGACCAGCGCAACGATTCCTCGGGCTGTGAATCCGTCGGGAAGCCAGCCGGGCTGAGACGCCTGGCCCTTGAGATCGAGGAAATCCAGCGTGTCGGCGGCGGCGTTTCCTTTGGAGGCGATGCCGGCAGCCTGACAAACGTCAATGTGCTCCTGCGGGATCGTCATGCGCTCCTGCATCTGCTGAGGGGCCTCGATAAGGATCATGGCCAGACCAGAAGAAAGATGCCAGTCAATGTGGCAGTGGAAGATCCAGACGCCGGGATTGTCAGCAACAAAACGCATGACAAAGTAGCCTTGGGGCGGCAGCACAACGACGTCTCTGCGGGCTGGAATCTTGGGAAAGGCCGTGTGGTTGCTTGGGTCATACGGCACGGGATCTCCATTCAAGAAATCGAAAAAGTGCTCTCCATAGGGAGGCTGGCGATCAATTACCTGGAAGTTGTGACCGTGAAGATGGAACGGATGCGAGCCGCCGTCAGCGTTGTTGACGACAATCTGCACGACGTCGTTGTGGTTCAGAACCATTGGATGAGTGAACTCGCCATAGATGCCCTTGTTGTTGACGAGATTCTCTCCGGCTGACATTGCCGTGTAGAGAGATGGCACCTTTGGCGTTGTGAATGAAATGTTGTTCAGGAAGGCATAGCTCTGTCCATTGTTCAGGTTGCCCATGATGACGGTGACGTTGAGATCCATGTCTGGCTCGGGAAGCAGTTCCATTCCATCAGAGGGCACCAAGGTTATATCATCAAAGGGAATGATTGCTGTGCTGTCTGTGAAATTGACGACCGCTTGTGGGTGATCGGCATCCTTGTTGTATTCCAGCCAGTTGGTGTTGTTAAGAGCAAGCTCCGGAGGCATGGTATCGAGCAGAGAGGAGTCTGCAACCGTAACAATGGGATAGTTTGTGTCCGTCTCGTTCTTCGTCGTCAATAGAATCGCATATCGCTGAGCAACACCAAGGTAGAGAGTGTCCGCCTCAGCGGGCTCAGTATAGACGCCGTCGATTTCCACAATCTTAAAGTTGTGACCCTCAATGTAAAAGTACTGTCCGACAAAGGCGCTGATGTTGATGATTCGAATCAGGTATGTCTTGTTCGGCTTCACGGGCAGGCTAGAGTTCATCGTGTCGTTGAAGAGGAAAGCATTGGGAATCGGTTCCGCGCCGGTGGGGTTGAAGACAGACATAAAGTCCGCAGACAAGTCCTCCACCATGTCGTGATACCAATCGGACAAGGTGACGGTGAACTCCTCGTCAAACTTGAACGGGGCGTCCTCGTCGTGGACAATGAGCGCCTGGCGGTAGCCATCGGGGTAGCAGTAGTCTGTGTGGCAGTGGTACCAGTAGGTGCCGTTCTGGTTGACCGTGAAGTTGTAAGTCATGCTGGAGCCGGGCGGCACAGGGCACTGCGTGATCATGGACGCGCCGTCCATGTAGTTTGTGTTGTTCTGGAACATGCCGTGCCAGTGGATCGAGGCTGCGCGGTCCAGGCTGTTGTGCATGTTGACGACGAGGCGATCGCCCTTGTTGACCTCGATGACGGGCAGCGGCCACTGGCCGTTGATGCCCACGACTTTGCGCTCTGCCAGGCCATCGGGGTTTGCCGTGACCCAGGTGACGTTGAAGTCGTGTGTAACCGTCTTGGCCTGGCCCAGCGCCGCGAGGGCCAGAAGCAGGAATCGCTTCATGTTGGAGAGCTGGTGATGGCAGCAGCCAATTGACCTTTCAGCCGCTCTAGTCCCGTCTCTCTCGCACTCCGTCTGGAGAGCAATGGATCAGAAACTCGGTTCAAGACGCAATTGACTCGACTGTGTGTGAGCCACCGTCCAGTTGTGGGTGGCAGGACTTGATATGTTATTTCCCCATCAACTCCCCAGCCCGAATGGAACAATGTTTCCCCTTCTCTGTCAAAGTTCCCGAGGATCAGCTCAGCTCCCATCCATCAGATAACCAACACGACGGGTTCCTAGAACCACAAAACAGGCTAACAAGACAAAACTAGACGGCCCCCACAGGGCTAGATGGAAAAATTCTACGCATGAGCGCCGACCACCGCAGCATGAGGACCCTGGTATCACGACCCAGCAAACGAATTAAGCCCATAAAGCCCCGTTTAGACTCGCTGCGAACCCTTTCTTGGCGTTCAATAGTCTGCCGAAAAGCCGCCTGGCATGATCAGATAACAATGGTTCGGCGCTCTAATTGAGCCATTTTCTTGATCAGATAATTTTTTCGTTTGATCAGATAACTCAAAATCCTCAACAAAGCGCATCGTGGTGGTGGGCCGCCGTGCCGTGTTAGCCGGGGAGCCACAGCTGGAGATGCATCAGGCGAATCTGACTGGACGATGCGATTATCTGATCATCTGATTTGGCTGATCGAGTCCACTTGTGGTGCTTCCAGCCGGCGCCTCCAATGATCCGTCGGAGTCAATCCCAGTTTCTCTTACAAGCTTAGTTGAAGGTCACGGCCCTTCTCGGCTAGAGCTGCCCTGAAAGCTTTTTCCTGCTGTGTTATTCAAGCCTTACTCATTCCGTATGCGGCCATGCGAGGCTAAATATACATCAATTGCTGGCCGCCATTGAGAAAAGAGTCCCTTTGTCTCTCCCCCTCCATCTTTCCATCGTCCATCACCCTTGTTTCTTTTCCTAGTGTCGGTCACTGCGGCGTAGACAGACACAATGGCGAAGAACGTCTTTGCCGTCCAAATCTTCTTCATTGTGTTCCGAGAGTGCTTGGAGGCTGTCATCATCATCTCGGTCCTCCTCTCGTTCCTCAAGCAATGTCTCGGTGGGCCAGGCCAGGACCAGGCCATCTATAAACGCCTGGTCAGGCAGGTATGGCTTGGCTCAGCAGCTGGTATTGTCATCTGTCTCATCATTGGCGGTGCCTTCATCGGGGCCTTCTACGGCCTTGGCAGGGATATCTGGTCAAAGTCTGAGGATCTCTGGGAGGGCATCTTTTACCTGGTTGCCGCAATCATCGTCTCAATCATGGGACTTGCCCTGCTGAGAATCAACAAGATGAAGGACAAGTGGCGTGTCAAGATTGCTCAGGCTCTGGCTGAGAAGTCAGCCAACTCTGAAAAGCCGAGGAACTGGCTCAGCGACTGGTCCAGAAGACACGTCATGTTCATCCTGCCCTTCATCACCACTCTGCGAGAAGGAGTTGAGGCCGTCGTCTTTGTTGGAGGCGTCTCTCTCAGCTTGCCCGCGACGGCCTTCCCTCTGCCTGTTGTGTGCGGCATCATCGCCGGTCTCGCCGTCGGTTACTTCATCTACCGCGGAGGCAACCTGATGTCAATACAGCTCTTCCTCATTGCCTCAACCAGCGTCTTGTATCTAATTGCCGCCGGCATGTTCTCAAAATCCGTCTGGAGTCTGCAGTACCACACATTTGCCCAGCGTGTCGGAAGCGATGTTGCCGAAGCAGGCAACGGCCCCGGCTCATACAACATTCTCGAGACCGTCTGGCACGTCAACTGCTGCAACCCCGAAACCGACAACGGCTGGGATGTGTTCAACTCCATCCTCGGCTGGCAAAACACCGCCACCTACGGCTCAGTGATTGCTTACAATGTCTACTGGATCTTCCTCATCCTTACTGTTTCTCTGCTCATGTACGAAGAGAAGACGGGATCACTACCTTTGAAGAACGAATTCTTAAACGCCGCCTCCAAGGTTCCAGGCCTCCGCCGATGGGTCGAGAAGAAGCGTGCCAAGACGGAAGTCAACGAATTCGAGGTTTTCCAGCAGGTTCAAGCTGCAGGACTCTTACGAGAGTAAGCTGGGTTCTAGTCGGGTTCGGATGTATAGCAGGACTCTACAAAACTGGGTGTTGGGAAAATAAGTTATGATATCATGTTGATGGGAGTTTGTGCCTATAACAGCAATTTAGTATAAATAATACACCTGTAACAGCTATGACCAATCACCGGTCTCTCGCAACTGGGATTTCAACCCTTTTCTTTCCCTGTCAAGCTCTTCCTCGATTGTCCAAGGCGTATATCTGAATCCTACAGGAACATTTGTATTCTCAAAAGCCGAGCCTTCGGTAACGGCTTTGACCGCCATAGGGTAGTTTTCTTTGGCGTACTGGATTGGATCATGAGCCCATATCCATCTGCTATGCCTCATTTCCATCAATTCCGGCTGGTCGAGCAAGCGGAACGGATCTAGTTTGTGAAGAACTTGCCGGTTCGCAAACCCAAACCGCTGAAGGATGGAGACACGCTCGAATCTGTAAGTCACCAGTCAGCCTTATGTTCCTTTCTAATCTATGACCAAGCCCTGTGAATACACCGGCATACGGACCTCAAAAGCACATGTGCCTTGACACTCTGGACAAGATGTTCTTTGCCGCCTAGCCTCAGACATGTGGCCAGGCTCAAAGCGTCCTCCATGGCTTGTGAAGCTCCTACGCCGCTGGTTGGCAAGAAGGTATGGGCCGAGTCCCCAAGCTGCAGGACGCGTCCTCCCTCGCTGCACCACTGTGGTTGAGGATTACGCCAAAGGAGTTTCCAGTCGATCACAGAGTCCTCGGGGGTCTGTGCAATGACTTCCTTAACGGCCGGATCCCAGCCTGGAACAGTATCCAATGTTTCGAGAACAGACTTTCCAGATACCGTGCTGCGCCAGGCCTCCTCAGCAGAGCCAGAGTCCTGAGAGAAAGATGGTTAGAACTGGATTAGCGATCTGTGATCGATAGCAGCCTACCTCGTGAGTTAATATATATATGATAGAGTCGGGGTTAGTTAGGAGGTTCATGTGCATATCGGGTCTAGCAAACGGTTAGCCATACAGAATACATTTGGTCTGCGTAATTCTTTCCAGGAAAGGCGACAACATACCCTAGGTAAATTCGGAACTCGGGTCTGGAATCGCAGAATATCTTGTCCTTGGAAGCCTGACTTATGTCTTGAAGCCGTTCGATGGGTATTACACCTCGGTAAACAGCAAAGCCACTACTCGATGGCAGAGGTGCAACACCAGTTATGTGTTTATGGCTCTTGGTGCCTACGCCGTCAGCAGCCACTATGAGATCCGCCGAGTACCGATCACCAGCGCTTGTCGTGGCGAATCCCTGAGTTTCGTCCTCTCCATATTCTACAACATTTTTCCCATAGTGTAAAGATATGCCCAGACGGCGCGCCTGTGCTTCCATAGCCGCCAGCAATTTGTAACGGCGAACGAACCAGGTGACTCTGACATCTCGCGCGGCATGGACGGCGCCTGGTTCATTCCATGGGGCCTCTCCGGCTTCTAGCACTTTTTGGCCATCATGGGAGTAGAAATACATCAAGGCGTCGCTACTTGTACTTTCATAGTCCTTATGAAGAGAGGGGAAGAAGCGTAGCGTGGCAAGGGCTGGGGGTAATATACCGAAAGAGTCGCCTAAGCCCAGGACAGTACTGTCAGCAGTCTAGTCTTGCCGTGCAGATAGAATGTAGATTAGACCATGGCAAAGAAAAAGTTCACAAACCAATAGGAGACACCCCGTCATTCCTTTCTAGGACCTGGACATCATGACCCTGCCGCCACGCCTCAATCGCCACCATCAAACCACCTACCCCAGCTCCAACTATCAAGATGGAAATACCTGTAGACGGAAGTCGTTGTACGCCATCGACAACTGATCCAGACATTGTGTGCAGGTTTCGCTGGTATAGAGGAGCTATTGACAGTGCAAGACACGGTTAGCTATATTGATGGTGGAATCCGCACGTTAACAAAGGTTATCAACAAATTTCAACTTATAGAATACTGAAACAAATAGAATTCAAATAGAATTCAAAGACAAAAGAGAAATAAAGTATGAAGTGTATTATATATATAACTACCACTTTGCTATCCGGAGATTTAGAACTCCAAGCACAGACAAGTATAGCACTAAATTGGACTATACCAAAACTTTGGCTTACGAAATGGTCCAGCGCCGAGGTGACATATCTGGTAATAAGCGCGCGTGGCCTTACATAAGTATATGCAGTGTCTAGGTATATCCCGCGGAGTGGGATTCAGCAGGATTGTCGAAACGCTTGGACTGCATGAATACAACATTATATGGTAAGCATTCCCGCGCGCTTCCTTCAAGAGTATTGCTACATGTATTGGGGCACTAGACGTTTTCTATTCGGGTAGTATTCCCACCAAGTCTAGCCTTTTTTAACCAGTTTCAAAAATAATGGATATTATATACGAGTTAAGAAAACCCCGTTTTACTCTATTCTATTCTTAAACAAACCTAGCTGCAGTTTATACAATTCCAGGTCCAGAGATAGTAGTACTTATCTTGGACTTTTACCACAAGAGATACACGCTTTCGTCTACAGCCACCCAATTCTCTTAAACATGTAGCTGCCACCGCCAACAACAGCCGTTGCCCCTGTAAAAGCTATCAGTGTCCCGTATCCGCTCCCGTACCCAGCAGCGGCTTGGCCCTGCCATGGCATTCCTTTGATCAGTGCCTCGCTCAGCGGTCCCGAGATGACGTTGCCAATGCCACGTCCAGCGGAAAGCACGCCGAATATCATGAGGGGATCATAACTACCACCGCTTCCATTGCTCTCTTCTCCTGATCCGCTCAGTTTTGACACCACATACCGCATGACTCCAGGCCAAGTTGACGTATAAGAGCCTGCAAACAGACCATATATGACGCAGAACACGTAAAGAGACGCCATGTTGGTGCCAAGACCCCAGAGGAAGAAGGTGCCGATTGCCGTGCCAATGGTCGAGATTGCAATGCAAGTCGTCACATGGAGACGATCAGTCAAGCTGCCCATGATGATGCACCCTACGACGGCGCCAACATTCAAGACCAAAAGCGTCAGAGCCGATGGGAAGTCACCAGCACCAAGAGCAGCACGAGCATATGTCGGCAGATAGATGCCCGGAAGGAAGTAACCGATGCCTTCGACAATATTCGCGAGCTGGAACAAGCCGAACGAAGGGGTTAACAAGAACTTGAGGTTAAAAGGGTTGAGGTGTGTGCCGGAAGCAGGCACCCGTGGCTTGATGAACAAGATCAGGGGTGCAGATAAGACAAAAATGCTGAGAGACCATATCCGTAGTGTAGTTCTGAACCCGTACTTGTTGAGGAAAAACTCCAAAAGAAGGGGAATGGTAAAACCACCAAGACCGCTGCCCGCCCACATAGTGCCATAGGCCATTCCTTTGCGTTTAACAAACCATTCGTCAATGTATAAGATACAGGGGCAGTAGCAAATAGAGCCGCCAATAGCATATAAGACCCCCTGGGTCAAGATAAGGTGCGTGACGTTTTGAGAAAAGGAAGAGATGGCGAGAGCGAGACATAAGATAAAAAGGCCGACGGCAGGCGCATGGCGAGTCGGTTTCGGGTACATCCGCTGGAGGCCCAAGATGATGGGAATATCGAGATACATGATGCCCTTTTAGCAGAGACGATTTAGCTTGGTTCTGCATTTTGTCATGTAGGGTTTAGCTTACCATTGCCGTGGTTCCAATGACAGCAATCTTGGATGACCCGGCAAAGGGCTCGTGTGTGCGATAATAGTCTTGAAACACACCAAACGCAAATGGGAAGCCTAGTAGAAACATGTCAGTCACTTAGTATCTCCATAGCCAGTCTAGTCCGTCACTCACCCCATACTAACGCCTCCAGAACGAAACACGCTGCCAAGAAAAGCCACGCATCTTTCCCTCTGTCAACAGGCGGCAGCGAAAACTCGGTTGTGCCATCTGGAGGGGACTCATCATCTCCAGAAATAGCTGCTCGATCCGAATTGTAATTGCTCTCGGCGGGAGTTGGGCCGGAGTCTTGCTTTGGAACATTGACTGTATCGGTGGAGATGTGCTGCGGAGTTGTCTTCAACTCGATGGATGATGGTGTTTCCGCCATGGCCAATTCGCGCACTGCCTGCCTCAATCGACCTCAAGACCAAGTCGATTTGCTGAGAAGCTACCAACCGATAATTATATACAGATGATAAAGTCGACTTTGCAACCTCTGCTTTGCAATTGATCGTGTCTTCGGGTAATTATAGCCTTTTAGATGAGTGGCGTCACAGCGATCGTTCCGGCAATGGCCCAAGGGTCTAATCAATTGACGCCTTGGCTCTGCGCCCTGCATGTCAAACCCCACAGCGCCAGAATGACTGTCCACGAATAGAGAGTCTGGGGAGTATGGAGAGACTCCGCCCAACGGCAGCTCTAGTATGCGTAAAGGAAGGCATCAGCATTGTAATTCTCAACTTAAGGTTTAGCAGCGAGTCGTGGAAATGCGCTTCCTTGAACTAGAATATTCTCTTTCCAAGATCACTACTTATGGTACGGAAACTATCACGCCTTTTGCGACCCATCATAACATTTTGTTTTATACCCCGCAACTCCTAGGCATCTAGCTAGAGGAGCCAAGTTGATGTTCTCGGTTCGCCACCTTTCTTAGCGTCGGATTCCAGGGCCAGCTTCATTCATAGAGAATCTTCCCCTCTGCACGGCCATGCTTCACCTCTTCAGACATCTACACCCTGTGTGCGGAACTGTAATCTTGCGCCTCTTCTCACCTAGCCACGCCCAATTGACTGTTCACTGATGGTAAGCATCGAGCAGAAGCAGTAAGGACAATAGCAGCAGCAAGACTGGCGGCCAGTGTTGCGTGCATTGCATGTGATGTGAATAGTCCATGTCTACTCCACCAACAACACGCGCTGTGTAGATTAAAAACTCTCTACAGATCGTGGCAAAAAAATACTCAGTAGATGAGAGCTTCAAAGTGCGAAGAGGCATCTCAAACACCACACCTGAGCCAGCTCAGAATTTTATAGGCCGGTAGAAAGCACTGCTTGCTTCTACGAAGAAAATGTGACTCGCTTTACCATTTGGTAACTATTCTTGGCAGGTCTCTCTCTAGCTTCCAATAAGCCAGCTTCTTGCTTCGTTTAAACCAAACCACTCGATCACGATATTACAGCAGCAAAAAATGCTCAACACCACCCAGGGAGGATCGGCAGGGACCTCGATGCAGAGTCAAATATTATACTCTGAAGACTTACTCAACCGGTCTCAGTCTTAATAAGTCATGCATCTCGAGTTAGACAGTAAGCATGAAATGATCCATAGCCTCATGCATTGCGAAAACGCACGGCCCCATTTGCCATGTGTCACCGGCCTTGCGGCAAACTTGGCAGCAATGTCTCATATTACACATATCATAGCCTACTTAGCTTCAACGCTAGCCAAGGCAGAATATGCTCAAGCTGTAGTTTCCATCTTCCATCTATGGCTTAGCAGCCGCAAGTAACATCTCCCATATGAGGAGACGTTTGAGACACATATATCACGCCAAGATCACACATCGCCTATTTGCTTGGCTAGCCCAGACTATGTGGCCGGAGACCGTCATTTCTATCCATTCGTCGCCATGGTTGTAGCTTTCAGAGAATAACTACTTGAACTCTCATTCGCTACAGTATATACAAACTCAGCATCTGATTTGGTATTTCAATTGGTCCCAATGGGTGTTGAAATATCTTGGATGCCGTCTTAGCCTCTATACCAAGCTGAATATCACGACATAGTGAGAGCTTACTATTGATCAATTCACATTACTAACATTAACAAGGCAATCTCCAATCATAATCAGTTCGGAATACGCCATTGTTCTCCCTACATATGTAGCTTACGGAGGCGGCGGTCTCGACCACTTTGAAGCCTAGCAAGTTGTCTTGGCTTCAGCACGGCTAACCGCCGTACATTACCTTTCAGCTCGGCGAGAATTGGATAAATATCGGAGATGGCTGTACACCAATCGTTAAGACGCTCGGTGAGAAGAAGCGAGGAGGGGAATGTCTTACAATCGGAACGCTATGACAGCTGCACAGTTGGGGTAATTCTTGGCGAGATGGAATAGCTTGAGACATCGAGAAGTAATACTCATAGTAATAATAATAGTAACAGTAGGGGAAGAGAAAAGGAGAGCGGTCAAAAGACGATGCTGAAAAGATATAAAGAGAGAGGATGCTCCTCTCCAAAACAACAGTCCTCACTATCACCTCAACAATTCCAGCTTCATCATCAAATAAAAGCCTTTCAATCTCCTTCACTAGCTACCAAAAAAACCTCTATCCAAAATGTCCGTCTTTGAGGGAACCTACATCATCCGCAGCGCCTTGTCCCAGCGCAAGCCTGTTGATCTTGAAGGCTCCAACCCTACCGGCCGTCTCATCGAATAGTATGTCCTACATCCGTCTCTCATATTATTTTTCACATGAAAGAACATGGCTAACATAGAGATGCTCTGCAGCACATACCACGGCGGCCCCAACCAGCAGTGGCGCTTTGCCCACGTCAACAATGACGAGTTTAGCATCCAGAATGTTGCCACTGGCACCTACTCTGTTGCCCCGGGTAAGGCTTGATATCAAGAATCACCTTTGCATTTAATTACTAACTCATCCAACTGCAGGTGGAAACGATGCTACCATCAAAGCCGCCAGAACCGACCCCAAGAGCAACGCAGCCGCTCGTTGGAAGATTGTCAGGGCCAATGCCGGCGCCGACACTTGGTAGTAAGTCATCACCACAAGCCTCTCCCACTTGGCACGTATTTGAGGCAGTATATCTGACGCCTTTGTACAGCATTCGCAGCGTGGGGTACTCTAACAAGACGTGGGATGTGACTGGCAGCAGACAGGATGATTTGACGGCCATCATTAATTACCCTTTCCATGGTGGCGTGAACCAGCAGTTTACCTTGACGCGAGTTGGCTGTTAAATCATGTACATCTTGGTAAGCCGATATCGTAGCTGTCGTAGCCGAGAGTTAAGGCGAGCTCTCTTTCTAGGCTTGTCTTCACCTAGGCACGAAAGAATTATTGGAGGATAGAGTCAACTAGTCACATACTAGTACAGTCAATCATATGAATATACATGTTGCCATTTATTATCGCATATCTTTAATTGTGAAAAAATACTGCCGTTACCATACCCCAATGTCAAGATTCAGTATCCCAGGAACGCCAAGAAAAGCCCGCCATCAATCAACCTTTTTAAGTTCGTGAAAACGACGCATAATCATCATGGTATATTGTTACATACAGTCTCTGCCTCACCGTCCGTGCCGAGTATTCATATTCAATGCTTTTCGGTGCAATCCATTGGTAAAGCCCCGATCTCCCCCTCGCTCCCGAGCCTTGTCGTCTGCCTCTCGAGCAGCACGTTCTTGAGTCTCTAGAGCCGTCAGACGCTTCTCTCGATCATCGTCAAGCTCGGACGCAGCCGATTGCATGGCAGCCAGTTTCCGAGCTTGCTCCTCTGCTCTCCGGCTGTCTTGCTCAGCATCATCACGCCCACGCTCTCTGTGAGCGCGAGGATATGCTGGGGACCGCCTCCGATATGAATCATGTCGATGGCTTCTGCCCTCACGCTCCCGAGAATCATCCCTTCGACGACTTGATGTGTGCTTGAGCTCTCGATCTTGTGAATAATCTCGCCGGCGGGGGCTGCGCGACCTGGAGTACGAGCGCCGGCGCCGCGAGTGTCGGCCATCGTCACGATCTCTGCTTCGATGTCTGCGATGATGCTTGCTCCTATGTCTCTCGTCTCCGTTTCGATCTCCGTCTTTGCGCTTCTTCTTTCCATCGTCAACTCCCATCGAGGAGAGCAGCTGGCGGCGTCTGATCGGGTCATTCATCATTGCCTCGTAAGCGGCTTGTTCCTGGCGCTTGATGGCCAGCAGAGGGTCATCGCGGATCTTGGCCGCTGTGTCGCGCGCATTGTTTGCGTTTTGCAGCGCAATGAAGCTCTCCTGTCCCGCGGCCTTTTCGAGCTTCTTGTTGTCGTTTCCCTTGATGAGATTGTCGATGCGCCTCTTTCCCAGCAGATATGCCTCTGTCTCTTCGGTGGTGCCAGCCTGGCCATCGGTAGGGCCCTGGTACATCCAGTCGACGCGGTCTACTCTCTTCTTGCCTCCCGCCGCCTCCAGCTGTCTTTGGAGGTCTTCCTTGGCGCGCTCCTCCTTGATTTCGTTGATGCGCTGCTGGGTGCGTTTGCGCTCGGCGAGAGCTTTTTGTTCTTCATCGTAGACGGCTTGCTGGTTTCGCCGCAGGCCGGGATGGAAGGATTTCTTCAAGTTCAGATCTCCGCCACCCATGGTTGCGACTCGTTATATGGATGAGATGGTCGTGAAATCGATTGATGAGTCTGATGAGTTGCAGTTGTGCGATGGCGAGTCTGCGCGTTGCTGGAAGCACTGGATAGTAATATCAGAGTTGATGAAGAGAAAGCAGGGAAAAGTAGAGATTGCTAGCAAAGGTTTAAGTTGCAAGTCGATGCAAGAGTTGCGACGGCAACGAATGACAGAATATAGTGGAGAACGCCACATTTTTCTGCAGCTACGTGCAAAAGCCCAAATTGTGGCTTGGTACAGGGTAGTACCGCAGCTAAAGCGGTCCTCGAAGTGACAATATCAAGACTTTACATCTAGGTATCTAAGAAATAAAATATATGATATAGAAAATGCTATGCGATTTAATGTCGCTGATGATTTCAAAATGATGTTGTTATCATAAGCGCGCCAGGAATTGAGATTGATGGGAGCATACAGCCTTGGCAGTAAGTACTACATGTAGTTTGCTCTCTGCAAGCAAATACCCGCCTGGCCCAGCAGCTATCAATTCAATCCAAGAGTCAAGCGACGTCTCGAATTTTTAGGACACCAAGATGAGAGAATACGGACATACTTTTTAACAGTTTTTTTATATTGAATCTTTCCTTTCTCCTTGGCCGCCCTCGCTCAGAGTTTTGTCTAACCGAGACCCGCGATAGAGTCGCACGCAAATATCATACACAGATTTTATACAGTTGAGTCGGAATATATGAACGTCGTTGAAATCGTAAATGCCGCATCTACCAACTGGCTCGCTTCACGCCGGGAAGGTTTCCTGCCAACGCCTCCATTCGGAAATTGAACTATAGGATTGATACATCGTTAGCTCAGCTTCTTCTGCCCATGAAGGCATAAATCTCGTTGGACCGATCGGCCGACCATCACGGTGCACGCACTCTTGTCATCTTAAACGCCCTCAGCACACCTCGCCCCTGTCCACCCATTATACATCGGTTGCGAATCTGCGTGGGCCGGGTGTAGGCGTGCATCTGGGACAGCTGCATCTGGGCCGTGGCTCGAACTCGGGGCGGCAGCGTGGTGTTGCGGATCATGTATCGAAGAGCCTGTCTAAAAATAGCAGAAGACGTAAAGATTAGCACGGTTTGGTTCTCCGACCAAGGGTTCGCCCATTTCCCGCCGCTTAATCTGCGCAATTTTGTCATGCAATTTGGCGAGAAATGGAGTAGAATGGAGAGATGAGAAAACGAGGCCTTACCTCTCCGTCTCGTGCTCCTCAAAGACCTTTCGCTTGGTGTGGTCGCGAATGGTGCGGGCCTTGACGAAGCAGCCCAGGTCGAGCTTCTTGGCCCGGAACATGGACATGATGGGCGGCGGTGCGAATCGGGCTCAATTGACGAGGGTCGATGACATTGAAATCTCGGGCATCTGGCGAAAGTTTGATGATGCCGGGTCGGGCGGCGTTTAGCCGGCGTACTGCCGACAGCTCCTCCGCGACAATTTCGATTAAGCTACGGCCGCCTGTTGGCGATTCTCGCATGGCCAACATCATGTGATGCGATGCTGGAAAAAGCAATCAACCGCTTCAATCTAATCTTTAATGCTCCTAATCGATTTGTCTTCACATTCTTATTTTCCATTTGCCGACTCGGCTGCTGCACCCGGACTATGTCGCGCGCATTCGTCCAATGACAGCGGGAGCTTTCCTCGTATTCACTTAGAGGCTACGTCAACTACCACCTTTCCCTCTGCCTTCTACACCACACGGACTACTCCGTTCCTATAAATGGGAATGCCTCGTTTCAGGGGATGTGCAAATGCTACTCACGCTCACTCTTGCTGCCGTCACAACCGTCAACAACATGAACTCCGCCCAGTTGGGTCACAACAGCGAGCGGGTTTTGTGCGGAGGCGCAGTGCTCGAAAGACCGGCCCTGGTTTGATTACGAATGGATAACCGGCAGTGGGTGCTACTTGCAGGCTGCTGCTATTCGCAAACTCGGCATCAAGGCAGCAAAGACCTTTCTATTCCGGCTTAATGGGTGGGTTTTCCCCGACTCGACTATTGCTTGTGCTTGCAGGTCCTTGTTTCGAAGAGCAGCACACGACTGGATGGAGGCTTACATCGTGGATCCCCCGTACTCGAGCGATTGACTGGTGCCCGTCGACGGCTTTTGATGGCAAAGCCCACAGCTGGCCTCCGCGCACTTTAGCTACCTTGCCTACCTTACCTATTGTATTAGGATTGATACGGCAATACATGTACTCGATACCTGGCGCTGGGAGATTGGGGGCACCAAATTAAGATGCCGGACCTCGAGACGACGAGAAACAACCTGAAGAAACCAATTACAGCTCGCGCGCTGCGAGTTCGTCGCGTACCCTGTACCCGGCCGCCCCGCCGCGCTGTCAGCACTGCCGCAGGTACTCGGTACCGCGCACGGCCGTCTCCATCTTTCAGGGGAAATCAGGGCCCCAGCGGCTTATTCCCATGCGGGCCTAGCAGCCTCGGCGCGCTGTGCCGGATCGGTCCCTGGCGCCTTTTTCCCAGCACTTGTTCCACGTCCCTTTTCCCTTTGTCGTCTGCGCAGCGCCTCTCATTGGCCTGCCGGGGCGCTCGCAGTCTGTTGCAGCGCAACGAAATGGGCGGCCCCTGCATCTGCAGTGGCAGGCAATTATCGTTACAGAGTGCCAAGGCGTGTCATGGCGCTGCCGCCGTGCATAGCCGGAGGATTTAGAGGCGATGCTTTTGGGGGGGGCAAGAAACAGCGATTCGATTGATGCTGCCAGACGCCGTATATGCGCTGTGATTCGTTTCATCTTCGAGTGCCACCACGGCGTCTGTGATTCCAGCTGCACGGCATCCCGGGGCTCCTCCATGATTCCATTTTTTCTTCTTCGCCTTCCACTGTAGGTCCATGCAGTCTATTCCACCTTTCCCTCCAGGGGCTGCTGGCTATTCCTGGACGCTGAAATTACCAGCCAAGACACTCCCCAGGCGGCCCCTCGCTGGCGACCCGCCGCGTTCAGGTACCAGGTACCGACCGCGCTGCCCCCCCGGCCCAGCATAGCGCGGTACCCCTTACACTGATTGTGCGGACCCCTCGGCGCTTCTTCCCCGTCTCAGTGCAAAATGCATCAAATCAAGCCCGAGCCCCTAATAATCTCTTTTACTTGACTCGACTCTGCTCGTTCTCTTCTCTTCTTCTTCTTCACCTCTTCCTTCACCTCAGTCCTTCCTTGAACCTCTGCAAATAGAGACATCCGCCGTCGTGCTTCAGGGGCCTCGCAGTCTCTGTTGCTCGCTGTTGAGACTCGTCTCGTCCTTTCATTGTCGTCCTGACTTGACCTTGGCGCAGCTTCGCCGCTCAATCTCTCCAGTGAACTCTTTCTTTGGCTCCATATTACTGGCTGCCTCTTTTGAAACAACAAAGAACGAAATCACTTATACGCTCTTTCGAGATATATCCCCAATTCGCTTCTCTGCAGGGCCGGAGGAACCACACTCCCTAAGTTGATACTTACAATTAATCTGCCATTGATTGTATTGTTTGTTCTCGCGCATCGACCGACCTCTTTTATACCCAACCGTGTGTTCAGTTCTATTTATATACACGCCTATATATCAACTGTTAGATTCTCTTCTCCGTCTCCAAAATGCGGTACTTGAGCGGTCTTCTGGCCGCCGCCCCTCTGCTGGGCCTCGTCTCAGCCCAGGTTTCCACATCGTGCAACCCGTTGAACTCGACATGCCCTGCCGACCCCGGCTTCAACACCGACTACACCTTCTACTTCAACACCACGCCGTCCTATGAGCTGTGGGAGACGACTGCTGGATCCGTCACCTACGACAACGAAAACGGCGCCGGCTTCACCATCAACAAGCAGGGCGACTCGCCCACCATCCGCACGCTCTTCTACTTCTTCTTCGGCCGCGTTGAGCTCTTCCTCAAGGTCGCCCCCGGAGTCGGCATCGTCAGCTCTTCTATGTGGCTGAGTGACGACCTCGACGAGGTCGACCTGGAATTTCTGGGCGTCAACAACACCATGGCCTCGACCAACTACTTTGGCAAGGGTCTTGAGGATTTCCACAACGCTGGCCTGTACACCACCATCAACAACCAGGAGAACTTCATCAACTACACCACCGTCTGGACCAAGGACGCGCTCCAGTGGTACATTGACGGCACCCTCGTCCGTACCCTGACCCCTGAGCAGGCCAACAAGACCCGAAACTACCCCCAGACTCCCATGAGACTCTCTCTCGGTATCTGGGCCGGTGGTGACCCGCGGATGCCCAACGGTACTCGTGAGTGGGCTGGTGGTGACACCGACTACTCCAAGGGCCCCTACAGCATGTACGTCAAGAGTGCTCGAATCACCGACTACGGCGGTGGCAACGAGTACACTTACGGCGACATGACTGGTAGCTACGAAAGCATCAAGGTCACTGGGTAAGTTGCACTATTGCTGTACCGAAGCTCCTTTTCATGTTACTGACAGATGAACAGCACCGACAAAAACTCCACCTTCTACGAGGCCCTCCACCAAGCCCCCAAGCTGTCTACAGCTGACAAGTGGAACAACCTGCCCGCGGGCGCCAGAATCGCCGTCTACGTCGCGGCCGGTGTCGTCGGCGCCGTCCTGATCGGAGCCCTGCTCTTCTACTGCATCAAGCAGCGCAAGTCCGGAGCCCGCGAGGCCCGCCTGCAGACAGAAATGGAAAAGATGGACCGTATGGAACTCGACAAGCTGAAGCGCGAAGGCGTTGACGTTGACGCATATACTGACTACGATTCTCGCAGTATGAGGAAAGAAGGCGTCGTCGCGGCTGATGCGCCCCCCGCAAACGTCAGCCCTCTTGACAGCAAAGGTTGGACCGCCGTCAACATCGAGTCGCCTATGCAGTCGCCCGCTCCCTTCCTCAACCAGGGTGCTGATCATCCTGCAAGCCCTGGCTCTCCTCCCCAGTCTCACCCCGGTCCCCAGAGAGCCTCGAGCACGGCTCCCATCCGGACTTTCAGCGCGAGCCACTCAGGATACCAGGGACTCCCCGGCGGAGAAGTCTAAAAAAGCACCCGATAAAACGTTCATGATAGAAAGGGAAGCGGGCTGGTTTTATTTTTAATCATTTATTTTTTTACAATTTCATTTTTGAAACCAAAGAGCGATGGGGGCCATATACAACAGCGCGCGTGGGATGAACTCTATTTTGCGTCTTCTTTTCTTTTTTTTCTTATATCTCAAGAAAAAGAAAAGGGTCTCAATGACTTGTTTCGTTGTTTGAACTTTTGCCTCCAGATACCTACCTTTGGATGGCGTTTTAGGTGTTGAAAGCTAGAAAGGGATGTATGGCATTTATGGACACACTTTACTATTTTACCACTTTTTTAAAACCTACACATACATATCTGGCCGTTTTTGGGCTTTCTACAACACGTTGCATATAATTTAGCTTGGTCGTGAATATGAACATACTATTTTACATGAATCTTGCTGAGCTTCCTTGTTGAATTGTGGCGTTTGTGGTTAGCTATATGTTTTGTGGAGGTCCTTGCTCTTGTCCTTTGCGATGAATGTGATGTTAAGCAGAGTCTGTCTACTAGAAGATTCGCAATTCATAGAGCTTAAGACAAAGAGAAGAGGATTTTGGCAAAGCTTGTTTATAAACAGGTTCTAGATTTCAAACTATGAAAAAGATTTGGATTTACCTATTCTTCTTTGTATTGGTCATATCATTGTATGAATGAGTAAATGGAGCTGCGCGGAAAATGAGAGAAAGTCGAGCCGAATTACAGGTTAGGCACTCAGCTCAGGACAAAAGCGCAAAGCACATAAACACCTATTGAAGGCAACAGCAATAGAAGAAAAGACGGGAATATCTTATACGTGGCTGAGATTGATTTTATCATTATTTTCTTGAGTATTTGCTACATCCAATTTTTCGGCAGGGCTGGATTAAATGTGCTACTGTACTCGCGAGTAACTTTTCTTTTAGCGCCCAAAGTCTAGGTATGTATGCTGTTCTGTAGCAACAGAGCTACAACTGTTTCAGATTCATGCACATTTGAGAACAGCCTTGCTCTATCCTATAGATTACGGCTTTGCATAACGCACAATGCGTCCTCAGGCATGATTCTAACAAGATCGATGAAACTGCTGCTGCACGTACATGGACATGAGCCTTTTACCTGACGGCAGTGATACAGCCTTATCTGTAGGTAGATGCACTCCAATCAAGCTAAAAGCGGATGAATGTCTGCGCTATCGACGCACAGCGGCCACAGCGCACTGAACTCGCTGTTGGCTCGCTGCATTCGCTGCATTCGCCGCACTGACGTCACGCGATGATGTGGTACAAAGTGATGAAACGGTGCCTCGACTTTCCAGAACGCGCGTTCTGCTCTGATTCATGACCCTACAAACGCATCTCTTTTAATCTTGTATCTCATAAACCATTCCTGCTACCTACCATATCTCTCACTTTTGCAAGCGCAAACAAAACAACACATACTCCAACTACAGCCATGTCTGTGAATATCCCCGACATCGTCTGGAGCGCCATGAGAGCCCTAGGCCTCAACACAAGCTCCCCAGAGGACGATGATGAGCCGATCCAGCATCACGCAGAGCACCACCAGTACGAGCCCAGCCCGATTGACATTGCCGTGGTCAGGGCCATGCTGTGCCGCACCAAGAAGCTGCCGCCGGACCTGATCGACGCCATCTTCGACTTTGGCGAGTACTGGGCTCACTCCACCACGCAGCTGCATGAGAGCATCTTCATTAGTGGCGGTAACCCAGATAGAGAAGATAAATTCCTGCTTCGATCATATCCGCTGGGTCTGGTAGATGCCGGAGCTCGACAGAATGCCAACGACCAGCCATACACCACCGCCTTGCCTACGCCTCGTCCCCTAGGCGAGAGTCTCGACTCCAGCTTCTTCGCAAAGGCTGCAAAGTACCCTGTGCCGCGCATCACGCATCCTGCACGAAAGGTGGTTTTCTCATTCAGGAGCCAGGACCAAGGATGGGTGACTAGCTCCGACGACGCTCAGGACCCGTATTCGAAGTCGTGGACGTGGTTTGATGCGGGATTGGAGAAGTTTGACGCATCTGGTGCTGGTGAGTTCCTTCTATCTTATCTCAAGGTACTAGTAGAAGGTGCTAACTGTTTATTAGAAGATGGATCAATACCCTCTGTCAACTCGCTTCGGCCACTTTACCCTCATATTAGGCAGACTTCATCCAACCCAGCCGGCTACAACTACGCGCACAAGCTGCTGCATGCACCTGAATGGGAGATTCAACGGAACAAGACAGCATTCGGAAAATGGCAAGATCATTCCATCACGTGGTCTTATCTAGACGACATCGCACCCGACTCAGAAGGCGGCCAGGCTCTCGTGGCAAAGGGCAGAGGGCGCGAGACGGGCGACGGAAAGTTTGTTAGGGAGCTGCAGGTCGGCGATGTTGTTACGGTCTGGGGCAGGGCGAGATTTGGCGGGTGGACGAACAGAATCGAATCTGTGCGGATTGATGTGTACTGGGCAGTGTAGATGGGCATTCTTGTGAATTTTGTGTTTGGCGTGTATTTGGTCCAAGGCGTTCCGTGAGGCTGGAAGCTTAAGAGTACATGCGCTTGTAACTATCAGTTTTAAATGATGCTTTCACAATGATAAGAGGTTATTAGTGCTGGATGGGAGGATAGACGTGAATGATTAATGTAAGAGACAACATGAAATAATAATACTTTCCTCAGACAATAATAATTCACGTCAATGGTATCTCGAGCGTGAAAGTACTGTTATCTCGTTCCGTTGTGCCGGCATCACAGGTACATGTAATTGAACAGCTTCAGCGGCGTTGACGTCATAAACACTGCAAGGCTGATTTCCACAGCCTTATTACATGTAGGCAGCATCTCACTAAAACGAATAAATACATGTACATCAGCACCTCAACTATCACGGCATGTTCCTACGACCCAGGCGCAACTTTCCCTCCGCCATCTCTCGCCGCCATCTTCGCACCATGTTGACTTATCGCGGCATTTCCGTCTCCACGCCGGACTCACTCGAAAACGCAGAGTCGCACCTCGAGTCCTTTAAGCCTTTCAATGTGAGCCAATTCGCCATGAAACGCACTTGACTCTCACATAATCACTCAATACTAAGTCCCTTAATAGACCTGGATCGATACCCTGACCAAATCTCTGGCGCTGCAAAGCCACGCCTCTCACCCATTCCACTCCGACCCCTACGTCCTCCGCAATGTCACCATCCAATCCTGCGACTTCTGGGGCTCCAACCGCATCGGCTTCATGAAGCTCACTGCGAAAGTCTCCAATTCTGCAGGAGAAACTCTGCCGTCGGGATGTCTCCTGCGCGGGCCCAGCGTCGCCATGCTGGTGATGCTCATCCCAGACGACGTGCCGCCGGACTCAGATGAGCGCTACGTCGTACTGACGGTCCAGCCGCGCACTCCAGCCGGGAGCCTGACTTTCGTAGAGCTGCCGGCTGGAATGGTCGATGGCTCTGGAAACTTCAAGGGCGTGGCAGCAAAGGAGATTGAAGAGGAGCTGGGCATCACGATCCACGAAGACGAGCTGACGTGCCTGAGCGAGCTCGCAGAGGCGTCGAGAGAACATCGGAATACGGACACCATGTACGAAAAGGAGAATCTACCCGCTGCCGTGTTCCCCAGCGCCGGTGGCTGCGACGAGTACGTCACCATCTACAGCGCTGAGCGACGCATTCCCAGAGACCAGCTGAGCGAGTGGGAGGGCCGCCTGACAGGAGAGCGAGGCTCTGGGGAGAAGATTACTCTCAAAGTGGTGCCAATGAAGGATTTATGGAAAGAAGGCGCTCGCGATGCAAAGGCCCTCGCTGCGTTGGCGCTTTGGCAAGGTCTGCGCCAAGAAAAGAAGTTATAGGTAGCTGAAGAAGCCCCTGATGGATGCTTATGATGCTAATGCTGATGATGCTGTTCCTTTCCCTGCTCTATTTCCATCTAACGAAAGCAGTAAACGTGACCGGTCTATAGTGTTTATCTTTCATATCCACGTTCAAATTCATGACTTTCATAGCTTCAATCTCTGCGCCAGCAGAATACCCTCGGCGAATGTGCCCACCCGCGCGTCGATTGCATAGCCCTCTGCCTCCAGCTTCTTGCACTCCTCCCACAAGTTCGCCAACGGCACGGTAAACACCTCAATAAACTCGTTCTCCTCCAGCTCCGGCTTCAAGTCCTGATTCTCCGGCAGCGCCATATCGATCGTGACGTGCACCATGCGCAGATTCGTGTTGCAAAACCCAGGGTCGTTATACATGATGGGAGTTGTCTCAGTCACCTCGCCCACGTAGCCCGTCTCCTCCTTGAGCTCGCGCACGGCGGCCTGCTCGGCGGTCTCGCCCGCGTCAATCAGGCCGGCGGGGACCTCGATGACAACCTTGTCGACGGGCGGGCGGTACTGCTTCTGCAGGATAATCTCCTTGCCCGTGGGCTTGTCGAGGATGGCGACGATGCCCACGCCGTCGATGTCGGCGCCGGCGGGGCGGGTGCGGCGCTCGGCGGTTTCCCAGACGCGTTCGATGCCTTTGGGGTCCTGGTAGGTGATTCTATGCGCAGAGTATCAGGCAGACGAACGAGGGGAGGAGGGCGGCGTTCTTATCGTACTTATTCAGGGAGATCCATCGCGACTCGTCGTTGGACTAGACGGAGGATTGAGTCAGCCAGAAAAGAAGACATTAGGAGGACTGGATCCGAGGATATTTTGCACTTACCAATGGCGTCGTGGAAAGCACTTTTGCACTAGTAAAGGACATGGTGACGCGACTGTGGCTGCGATTTGCGATGAAGCAGAAACAATGACGATGGCCACATGCAGGTTGCAAGATTGCGGCTAGAGTCCGATGGCGGGGTTCAATGGCGGGGGCATCAGCGCGTCGAGCCCCTGTAACTGGCGCTATGAAATCAACTCTAGTGAATTCAATTGGAGCAGCTAGCGGGCTGGGTACCCGCTAGCGTCACTAATGTGACTGCACTAATGTAAATGCCCAGCTGGAACAGCTTTGGCGAACCCCAACATTTCGGCAGTTCATGTTGCCAAAGCGAGACACAGCATTCATCACAATGGCCTCCATGCTTTCGCCCTGCGTTCGAGTCCAAAGTGACAATGTTGTCTCAGTTGATGAGCACTGTTTTATACAGCATTCCCCTCACCCGGAGCACATCTAGGGGCCAAGATGCTGGTACTTAGTTGGCTTATACAACGCCAGTTGCTAATAGCAACATTACACCCATGAATCCTTGACGTAGAAAGCCGTCGGCATCGGGCGCGCACAATTGCCTTTGCTTCATTGTGAGCTTGCGCCGCTTAAACGCTTCATCCCCAAGATAACCATTCACCGTCGTTGGTGATTTACATTTACCCCAGGCTATCCAACTCTCGTTGCGGCAAGGGCGCGCCAGAGCATTCTGGCCATTCCAGATGAGTCTCATTCTCATCCTCCTTAGCCCTGTGCCCAGATACCAATACTACTAGCTCCAACGCAATTACGACAAAGCAGGGAATATCGCGCGAGTGCTGACATGGCCATTATCTTGAAATCAACCTTTCAATGGGGCATACGCGTTCCGGATGCTGTACCCCACTGAAAAAAAGTTCCCGGGGCCACGCCAATCATTGCGGCCGGGAACCTGAAGCTTTGATAAAGGCTTCACGCCTCCGGCTAACTTTATCCCTCTGCCCTTGAGCTAGGCGTTTGGGCAGATATTTGCCGTTTTTGCTATCTGTGCTTCGTATGCTATCGACGTGTCTTGCATATCGTGTCGTCATGTAGATGATCCATCGTCTCATCTCATCTCCCCTTTATACGCTTTACCCCAATGTTTTGCCCTGGTGGGTTCTTATAATACAATCGTTTGCAGCATTTCATCTTGTCATTCAATTTTTTTTTTTTGGCCATCAATAAAGGCCTTTTAATAATATAATTCACAAAATAAGAAGTCGAAACCGGTCCTGTCATGACACGATACGGCGCCGCAGCAGACGCCGAGTCTTCCGGCATGGGCTCTGATATCGAGGCCAATGGTGATGGATACTTCCACCATGACCGTATCATTGACGATGACGCCGAAGCCGACGAGACAACATCGCTGTTGCAAAACAACGACTTGCCAGCCGACATTGCGCCCTCCAAGGGATTCCGCCGCCTCGTCGTGGCAATGTGCGTGCTGTTTCTCTTCATCGCCGAGGTCAGCCAGTACATCCTCAACCCTCCCATGGAGCAGATCATGGAGGACGTCATATGTCGGCGTTACCACCCGGACCACATGATAGCGATGCCCCAGCTTCACGATGACCGGTGCAAGGATACAGAAGTGCAAAAGACGCTGGCCATGGTGCGGTCGTGGAGCACGTCTCTCGATATGCTACTTCGTAAGTGCCGACGAGACTCTAGTTTCTTGATATCGTATCACTGACAACTGAGCATAGCGCTTTGCGTGCAAATTTCCTTTGGAGTCGTTGCTGACAAGTATGGCCGTCGTCTTGTCATATTTCTCTCACTCTTTGGCTGTCTCCTCGAGCAAGCTTGGGTAACCGTTGTCCGTATGTATAACACTTCCCCCTTTCTTTCGCCTTTCTGACTTTGGCCTTGCACAGTCTTCTTCCCCGATACTTTCCCCATCTGGAGCATACTGTATGGCAGCATCTTTCTCCTGATTGGTGGCGGCGGCCAGATGGTCGTGGCCATGATTTCGACTGTCGTTGCCGACGTCGTTCCCGTGTCAGAGAGAACCGGCACATTTTACCTGATATATGCCATGAATCTTTGCATCTCCATCGCCGTCAACCCTCTCGCTGCATTCCTCCTAAGCATTGACCCTTGGCTTGCAATGTGGATCGGAAACATCGTGCTCACTATTGGCGTGCTATCGTCTGCTCTCATCCCAGAGACGCTCAAGTTTCGCCAGGCGGCCGACAACAAGCGCCGTAGCCAAGATGGTTCATCTGCCGCTCAGCAAGAATCACAGCTTCCATCGAAGCAGTTCCCTAGTGCGAGAGAACTAGCGCAGCGCGCGTTGTTTTCGGCCAAGAACGACGTGTCTCACGTATGGCGGTTCATCTTCACGTCTAAGACGGTCGTACTGCTGTTGCTCGCCTATGGCCCATTCTATCTCATCAAGTTGACGTTTGTTCTGGACATTTTGCAGTACATGACTCGCCGCTTCAACTGGGAGTGGTCAACTGTAAGAAGAGACCCCTTTCTAATATATCATCTCCAAGTACATGTACTGACACGAACATCATTAGGCAACATACGTCAACACAGTCAGCAGTCTGGCGGGAGTCTTCACCTTGCTGGTGCTGCTGCCACTCTCGTCGTCTGTTTTGACCAAACAATTCCACTTTGATTCCATCAAGCGAGATCTATTCCTGGCCCGCGCCTCCATCGTCATATTCATCGTCGGCAGCCTGTTCACCGCCCTAGCACCAGTGCCGTGGCTGTTTGTCATCGCCATGGTCATCACCAACATTGGTGTGGGCGTCAGCTCCCTGTGCCGAGCGCTGCTCAATGCCGTCGTGGAGCCGCATACAGTGGCCACGCTGAATACGACGATGTCTACCATGGAGACGCTCGTGGGCTTTTTGGGCGCTCCGGTCATGGGATGGCTGCTGAGTCGTGGCATGGAGCTGGGCGGCGTGTGGATGGGGCTGCCCTATTTGGCGACCACTTTACTGGGAGTCGCAGTCATGACGGCACTCGCTGTCGTGAGAGTTTAGAGAGCATTTCTCAAAGTGTAGGATAATAAGCAATAGATTGCTAGAGCATGAGCCTTGGAAAGAAAGAGAAGCTGCGCGGGACGCATAATTTAAGATGGGAGCTGAGACATGTTGGAGGGGCTATACAAACGGCGCTGGTGGCTGCATTCATAGCGTAACATACTTGACGTATATTTCATTTGTTGATATGATAATTCTTCTGTTCTTTAAATTTAATCGGCTCAAAATCTGATGAATGCTCCTTGATACCCGAATTATCAATGGTGTAAGTGCTCTGTTGAGTCTGGCGCTAGTCGGAGCGGAATATTCCTTGGTGCAGCTCCTATCGATAAGCCCCAGCGCCCCGCGAAGTTGTCACCTAAACAGATACAGACTCCACTGAAGCTTCGATCCAAGATACGCAGCTCACGACCATACAATTGAACATAGCGTTACTACTACCATCAACAGCTCTACGACAACTCTTTGTTCAGAAGACACTCTTCCTCTGTCTCGTTACGCTTCGATCACAACCATACAATCGGCGCAATGTCTGACGACGAGGATTTCATGCAAGAGTCCGATGAGGAACAGTTGGTGCTATTCCTGGGAAGCAGAGCGGTTCGCGGCGTGCTGATGCAATGCTTTGCAGATATGACTTCGAATACGAAGAAGACGACGACGAGCAGGAGGCTGGCGATGTCGATATCGAGAACAAATACTACAACGCGAAGCAGCTGAAGCTCAGCGACCCCCAAGACGCCATTGCGGAGTTTCTCGGGATACCGCCTCTGGAGCCGGAAAAGGGCGAATGGGGATTCAAGGGCTTGAAGCAGGCCATCAAGCTGGAATTCAAGCTGGGGCAATACGACCAAGTGAGCAAGGCTGAGCTCGCCGACATGATCTGACATCAGTTTACTGACAACTACCAACTCCAGGCGGCCGAACACTTCGCCGAGCTGCTCACATACGTCAAATCGGCCGTGACGAGAAACTACTCGGAAAAGTCAATCAACAACATGCTCGACTACATCGAAAAAGGCTCCGACGAGTCAGCAGCCGTGGAAAGCATCGAGAAATTCTACTCCCTCACCCTTCAGAGCTTCCAGAGCACGAATAACGAGCGGCTGTGGCTGAAGACGAACATAAAGCTGGCCAAACTCTTGTTGGATCGCAAAGAATACTCTGCAGTGTCCAAGAAACTTAGAGAGCTTCACAAGGCCTGCCAGCGCCCCGATGGCAGCGATGACCCAGGCAAGGGAACTTATTCGCTGGAGATTTACGCCCTGGAGATTCAGATGCTGGCTGAGACGAGAAACAACAAGCAGCTCAAGACGCTCTATAACCGTGCGCTCAAGGTCAAGTCGGCCGTGCCGCATCCCCGCATCATGGGTATCATCCGTGAATGCGGCGGCAAAATGCACATGAGCGAGGAGAACTGGAAGGAGGCGCAGAGCGACTTTTTTGAATCATTCCGCAACTACGACGAGGCAGGATCACTACAGCGGATCCAAGTTCTCAAGTATCTGCTTCTCACCACCATGCTGATGAAGTCAAACATCAACCCGTTTGACTCGCAGGAGACAAAGCCCTACAAGACCGATCCTCGCATCTCCGCCATGACGGAGCTTGTCGACGCATACCAGCGGGACGATGTTCACGGGTATGAGAAGGCGTTGCGAAACAACCAGGACATTCTAGCAGATCCTTTTATCGCAGAGAACATTGATGAAGTCACTCGCAACATACGGACCAAGGGTGTTTTGAAACTCATTGCGCCTTACACACGCATGAAGCTGTCATGGATCGCCAAGCAGCTGCGAATATCAGAGCCAGAGGTGCAAGATATCCTTAGTTTTCTCATTATTGATGGCAAGATCAAGGGATCGGTCAACCAGCAGGCAGGCATACTAGAGATCACATCTGCTGCCGACATTAGCAGGATCCAGGCGCTCGATAGCCTAACCACATCCATTCACGAGTTATTCGGGGCCGTGTTCAGAGAGGGCGAGGGCTTCCGGAACGAGCATTCCTCTTTTGAAGACGCGACTCCTGGCCTCGATGTCCAGGCCATGGCGAGCCTTGCGAAAGGCGGTGGCCGGCCGGCACAGCGCCCACTGCAAAGGTCTGGCAAGGGCAAACCTGCTCTGACGCCCCTTTGAATACAATATCACTTGTTCCTTGTTTCATTCTTTGTTTTTTAGCGCCTAGTTTTGGAGGCGACTGCGGCGGTATCCCCCTTTCAAGCAATTTTCCATGATAACCCCCACGCCCGGGACTTTATTACGGGGTGACTACTTCCCTTATTCAGGCGGCATTGCTTAGATGGAGAACAGGATCGGGTCTTGGGCGTGTAGATTCTTGTGGCGAGCGAAGGCTGGACGCCTGCCCTTGACGAGAAATACGACGTTGTTGCCATGAAAGGGGGAAATGGACTGGGATAGGCAAATATAGAGCGAGGCCTGCGATTGATGTTTGCCATATCAACAAGAGAAGAATCTGCTTACAAGCACCCACGTGTAGCATTCTGTAGACGAGGTGATCTTCAAGCATTCGCCACGACGATATCAAGGATGCGGGTAGCATTGCGGGTGGCATCCGAATGGCTCGGTAAATAAAGCCAGGGCAAGATTATCCGCAGTGAAGCGTGTCGCGTATCCTGTCCGATAACACGTTTGAGTTCTAGACCTCGTTTCGTTTCTAATGAGATTCTCTTATGCATGGCCAGTCTGCATGAATACAACCGTAGCCTTGAAAGACAGAATTACCGTGCTCCCCGGGATGTTGAACTGGAGTCCGATGAAAACCCCACTATAAAATACAATTAGTCAAGAGAATATCAGGTTCAGAACATGAAATATTTATCAAATGAAAGATCTACAAAATGGAGAGCACTTGGTGACCCGGCGAGCTCATATATGGACTCTCAATCCTGTTTTCGGTTATAAATAAGTCACTCGAAGCAGCAAGTCTCATTTGCCTAATCAAGCCGGAAGTCTACTGCCCGTAAACACACATCTCGATCTCCTCAAGTCCTGGTCATGTAGCTCTGATTCCACAAAATAGGCGATGTCGTTGTTATAATCCCGCAATCCCTCGTCTGTACGAGTACGGCGATGCTACGACTCATGTCTCAAGGCAGCCGGCGGAACAAGCTTGGTCCCACTGGCAAAGCTGCATGGAAGCGAGTTTACAATAAAATAGCGTGTCAGGGATCGCACATTAAAACAAAGAGGAAAAAGGGAAGGGAGACAGAGGGCAAAGAAAAGTGGGAGTGTTACACCGCGTAGCTAGGTCCTGGACATGGGTGAGGCATCTCCATTATCTACGCAGTGGGCATTGATGCTATAGGACGTATAAATCGACAGTGAATTGACCATTAACATGAGAAACGCGAAACTACCCTGGGACAGGGCACAGAACGGGCAATCCGAGCGCAAGTATTGAGCAATATAAGAGAGCGAGCAACTATTACTCACTCTTTGAGGCGGAGTTTTCAACATGCAGTGCAACGGGTTGCTCTCCATTGAGACACGATACAAGGCTTGTTCCACACAGCAACAAGTCTCGTATTATTTTCTCTTTTGTTCGTGCTCTGCATGAGGCCTTTGAAGTTGCATACGCGTGTATCACGACGAAAATAGAATCTACACTGCAGGGTAGAATAAACTGGACCTTGACACGGCACCATCACATCACATTACACACACACTTACACACAGACACACATAATCTACGGGTGCTAATGCTGTGTGGCCACGCACACATCATACGTAGGGCAGATGGCTCATGATGATGGTGGGCATTATCAGCAAAATAATGACGGAAAATAGAAAACCAAAAGAGGTTACTACCGTGAGTGAGGCAATTCATAATCTCTGCTAGGTACGAGTGCTATACCCACTCAATCCACGGCCCGCAGCTGTCACGCTCCAAAGAGGAAGCTGGAGACTATCGTAATAGAACGCTTCTCGTGCTCCGTAGTCTGACGACAATCGATCGATCCATCAGGTGCTCCCAGACCGGCATTTGCTTACCCGTGGATTCGCAAAACAAACAACTCTCCCCGATATACATTCTGTCTGTGTTCCTCTATATACACTCCTCTGCTGTGATGCCTGTATTTACTACTTACAGCCTCTTGCGTCTTTTTGAGCAACTCGGTTTCACTCCACTCCGGTTTCTGTAGTGTCTTACAAATGAGACACTTACACATCACCTTTTGGGGCAACGTGCCGCTGAAGACTGGAGATTCCTGTACGCCTGTGGTCGAGAAGCACAAAGATGTGGCGCCTACACGCTGTACAGAGCCCTGCGAGCTGAATGATTTGCTGGTCCAGAGTGGGGTGATACAGAGATTGGTTACATGTGGTGTGGTGCAATGTACATACATGTACCCGGCTTCCCGGAGACACCTGACAGTTCATAATTCTTCTGCATGTTGTTATGATGTCTTGTATCAGAATTTGCATAATGTGCTCCCCTGTTGTTATTATTGCGCCTGGACCCTACGTGGCTGCTCCTAGTGTTTGCTTTCCTCAACTCTATCTGTCCGTCTGTGCAGAAGGTTTACGGCTAATGCTGCATGTCTCAAATGAATCGCTCCATCAGTAGTTGCTTGTGATCGTGCTCTTGTGGACCCGGGGGCATGCTGGGATTCGTTTGGGGGCTGGAAGAGGGCGTGACGTGAGCTTCAACTTCCTTGCTTGGACATTCGGCTTTGGGACCAGATCTCCGGCGATGCTACAAGTACAGTACTCCTACAAGGCTCTGGTACGAGAACATCAAGTCGGCTCCGGACCCTGTCGGTTCCCGCGCAGGGAATGCTGGAGCAAACTTGCATACATGATGCTAATTAGTGGAAACATGCTAATTACAGCGGACATCATCGGTGATGCTAGTCCCGGCATCACTCTAGAGTGGCAGTAGTGGCGGCGGCGGCGGCGGTAGTAGGTACATGAAGTAATAGTGTCGACGGGGGCCAATAGAGGCAGAGCTGGCAAGCTGGTCTACATCTTGTACTGCGGACAGGCATCATGATGGAGTGGAGATTTGATGTTGGTAGTCCAATCAGTTCCCCAGAAAGATGAGAGAGGAGAAGGCCTGGTGCGTCACGGACCGCTCAAAGCGCATGGCTTACCCATTGACGTTTTTGCCGACTTAATACGGAAGAAGGCCAGCTTTGTATATTAGCTTGGTGGCTTCGGGGATGATGCTGAGCGAGGCAGTGAGATAAGGAGGCTTTGGCAGCCCTGCTGGTGGAAAGCAGCATCAAGTGACTATGCTGGTAATTACAGAGGTGAGATGTCTACTCGGCTGGTCTCTCGACCCGACGGGATATTGCAAGATATTGCGAGGGGGGCATGGGGCATGCTGGACAGAAATGCTTGCTTCAATGCTTGCTTGTATGCGTGTATTTGTCTGTTATGCAGGCTGCTTGTGCGTTTATGTGAATGTGTTGTGCCGTGATTGGAGTTGAACATTCACCTCCAAGCATCGTGGAGAGACGGCCATATAATGATGGTGTTGCTGTACAAGTATCGAGGTGGTGTGCTTGTGGCGGAGATGAAAACTCTCACCTGATGCATACGTCTACCTACATGTATTTGATCCTAGACGGCCCTCTGCGCGCACTTTGCAGCAGACTGAAACATGCAGCGGGATATGCAGAAAATACGGCCGCGTACATGGGAGATGGCCCACGCAAGGTTTGGCGCTGGTACTCGAACTGATGATGGTAGAAACACGGGCGCTGTAACTTGCACCGTTCTTTATGCATGTACGTTGCTGCTATTTGTGGTATATACTGCTCCGTACAAGGCATGAAAACCATCAAGATTACTAGCAGTAGATCCATGGTATTAGCAGCAGTACAGCCAGGTGGGGGTCACGGTGGTATCAGCGTTTGCCTTTGCAAGGTGTGGTGGTACGCAGATGGGCATGTGCAGGAGCTGAAGAAGCATCGAGTACATGTATGCCACTATGGGGATAATACAGGGGGAGCAGCTTGTGGAGTGGGCTGTTGTTGATGGCTGTCCAGCACTGAGGCAAAGGAGCAAGTACAGGGAATAGGCTTGTAGAAAGAGCTCGGTTATGGCTGAGCTCATGTGCTGTATAAGTGTTGCTGGCATAATGACTGCAACTAGTGATATACGAGAGACACATGTGATGAGACAGACTCGATAGCTTCTCATGCTAGACCTAGGACTGTGGACTAGCGATATATGCTTGCACTTGTCTGCTGCATAGAGCCTAGATGGAGGTATTAATCGACTTTCAATCTACGTATAACCCGTGTTACCGGTCAGTCGGTAGCAGCCCAGCGGTTAGAGTACAGCTGCGGAATACTCATACAAGCAGGTACAAGTACACGTCTACCTAGCCAGATGCCATATCACCCATGCCTCGACTGGCCAACCAGCCTCAGAGATCATTGTCCGTTCCAAGTAATTCTGCAAAACGGCTGAGTGGAGCCTCTAACGGAATTAAGAGCTATGCATTCTGCAGAGAGCAAATACTAAGATGCCTGGTGGAATGAAGCAGCTTGCTGGGATATCTCAAACCAGAGCATGAGGTACCTTGGGTATCCGTGCGTAGCTGGTCTTCTGAGCTCTGGGTACCTGTACCTGCGCCTGTATGTGCGTGAGATGGGCATGGGTGGACGGAGTATCCGTAATTAATGTATACCGACGAGGTCTACAAGTATATGTGCCTCTACACAGAACGCCCCGTCTCGGAGGATATCAATGGGCCTACTTTTTAGTAGCTGCTAGCATCATCTCCATGCTGGCCTGCGGAGTAGCAATATTACACGTCGTTAATTCTGCGCAGGATACTGCTCTGATCGGAGCCCTCACTGACTGATTTACAGCACTTGATGCGACCGGATAGCTCCAAGATGGAGGCGATACCACGCTGCTACCAACGACAAGGCACGATTAGCGCCATTGGCATACAAGGGTGGTTGCATTTTTGTTAATTTCGCGGTGGGATGCAGCGGACGGGACGCGGAGAAACTTGCCCATTGCTGGTAAGGGCGAAGCCAGTTTTGCTGGTGATGCTGGGACGGTGTAGTGTGTCATGAGTTGTGATGGTGTGTATATCGCAGCAACACGCATGGATTGAGTTGTGTGATGCTGTATATGCCAGCAACATGCATGGA